AAAACTGCTGGAATAAAATGTAAATCGCCTTCAGGTAATAAGTCCAAAATTAAATGTATTGCTGACAACCTGGAGGCTCTTGCTGATTTATGAGTTATTTCAGCTGTTGCAACCAAAACTTCTTCAATATTACCAATAAACTTAACAATAGAAGCTTTGCCCTCATCCGTTTCAACAAGCTTATTGATGATTCTATATGACCTCTTTTGCATAAGAACATTATTCTCTAAGGCAACAGTTGTAGAAAAGATACTAAATAATGCATTATGAGATGACTCAGGAACATATTTAGCCATAGCCACAATTAAGTCCATCATTGTTGAACTTAATTTTGGAGCTTCGGATTTGGATTGGTTAGTAGCTGGGGCAGCATTAACCTCTTCATCCATACTGTTCTTTAATAAACCACATACTTTATTGAAAGTACTTTCTAAGTCAGCCTTTGGAATAACTTGTAAATACGTATCAACAGTATCTAAAATAAATCCTCTAGATTCAGGAATTGTTGAAGTGAAAATATTGAATAAAACTGACAAAATGTTTGAGGCTTTTGAAGCTAAATATTCTAAATTCTTTTTTGATTCTGCAATAGAGAATTCTTCTTGCATCAATAAATCATCCGCAAGAGCACCTTCACTATAGGCAATATTGGATTCAACTAACAATCTTAATGCATGACAGATTGGAATTCTCAATTCTACATTCGCATACATCAAGTCAGACAAGGTAGCAGCAAAAGAATCGTCAAAGCTACTTCTCAAATCCTTAGGCAAATCACAAAAGTGTGGTAATAATGACCATACTTGATCAGTTATTGTTTGGAAAATCTTAACGTGCATTGATTCTTTATTGGTTGCATCTTTAACTTTTTGTTCAAAGAATTCAACTAACGGTAAGATTTCTCTTCTGTAGAAACTTAAATTGGCAAAACGCACATTATCTCTCAATAATGGCAATAACCAAGCTCTACCAGATCCTTCACCGTTCAAGTTTAATGGTAAAACACTTAAAACTACATCCGGGCCCATAGTAGAAATAGATGCAGAAATGACATCTTCCGCCTCTTTATTGTGTGGAAAGGAATCAGTTTCATTAGTACGCCATTCTCCAACAACTTGTAAAACATTTAAAAAGTCTGGATTGCAGCGGGTTCTTAATTTCAAAATAGTAGCAGTAATAAACTCTAAAATTTCTTTAGTAGCATGTTGATACTTGATGGATAATAATTCCTTTTCAATATGATCTGCAATAAATGTAATGGTTTCATCCATTAATTCATATATTTCACCGGACACGCCATGTTGTTCCGATGGTTGAAGCATGTAATTATCCGGGATAGTTTCAGTAATAATAGCCATTAAGCATTGAGATGCAGAAGTGTAAATATCTCTTGAATCTGATGATAAAAATTGAGATACTATAGGAACTACATCTGAAATTCTCTGAAGACAAGTATCGGGCGATAAAGAAGCAAAGCTTTCTAATGCTTTAGCAACGACTGCTAACCAAGAAGCAGCCAAATGCGTATCATTGACTGATGGTTTCAAATCGAAGATGATATCCAAAACCTTTGTAAACTTTTCCACGTCAATGATATTGGACATAGATTTGAATAACCCTTCAAACGCAGAGAAAGCAGAAGTCACTAAATATTGATCTGATGTCTTCGAGATTTCAAGTAATATGTCACATAACGGTTCTATTTGAGTTGAAGGCCACGAGTTCGCAGAAGTGATAGATGTGATTAATTGTAATGTATGAATGATTTGTGAATTTGAATCTTTATTTGAATTCTTCTTATTACCTCTGGACAGAGTTTCAACCAACGAAACTAACTTCTTTAAAGCTAAATCACCACACAATGGTGCTGCAATATGAATAGGAGAAGGGGATGGTGGAGGACTCATTAAGATCTTATGAACTGATTCTTGTGCTCTTCTTCTCACTTTTGGTCTTGGGTCAAACGATAATTCCAATAATCCAATCAAAGCTCTCTTTGGAGAAATATTACCAGAAGAAACCCACTGTTGATGGTCTTGTGCTAACAATAAACTCTCCAATGCACCAATAGTCGACCTAACTAATGGAGCTTCAGATTCTGGGTTTGTAAGTGGAGGAGCTAATTTGGTTAAAATTTCACCGAACTTAGCTTTCAATAATGGTTTAGGAGTAAACGGAAAAATAATATCCAAAAAGTAAGCCGTGGTGGTAGCTAATCCACTATCAACAATACTATCGCCCTTAACAGATTGGTCTAATAACGATAAGAAGGAAACAAAGTACGCAACTGGTGTTTTTTCATTCTTTTGTTCCTCGATGTTTTCTTCCACAGCGGATAAGATTATAGCTAAATTCTTTTGATTGTCTAATTTTGAATTAATTTGCGTTCTTATCTTGGACAATTTATCTTCCATTAAAAAGACATCTGCAGATAATCCACCATCTGGGTTATTATCAGCCATTCTTATTATCAAAGTGTCCTTTATTAACTATTTAAGCTATATCTACTTCTTATGCATCAAAGTACCAATTAATTTTTTTTTCATTCTGAGATGCGAAGAGATCAAAATCACGTGATATATATATATATTCAAGCTCCTAACAGTAGATCATCTAGTAAGGCATCAATCATGTCAATATCCCTTTCATATTTCGACAAAGCATTTTTATAAATTTGGATATCTTCAGCAGCAACATAAGTTGGATCACTTTCCCTAAATTGTTCTGCTATCGGTTCGAAATCAGTAAATTCATCATTGACAGAATATTTCTTGGCTATATAATAACGAATATCGTCTATAAGTTCGATAGTATCTGTATCCTGTCTTTCTTGAATTCTAGAAGCACTTTCTTCAATAAGAGTACAGAACTGAGATCGTTCAACTTCATCATTGCTAATACTTTCAAGATTATGAGCAATTAATTTCGATACATGCTGTTCCAACTTATCACATCTAGTTTGCCATGATACTCTAATTAAATCATATGCACTGTAGCCAACTCTTTCAAACAAAGATTGAAATTCGGAAAATGTGAGCTTCGAAAAATTCGATGTAATATTCACAGCACACATTGTCTTGAGCCTCTCTAAGAATAGTTCATCAGCAGCAAATAGTAATTCGATAGTGAGTATCAAAGGAATCGGAGGAACATCGTCATGGTACAAGAACGACAATATGATCTTGGCTACTTCAAAATTAGATGTGTATGTGGATATTTGAATGACAGGAATGTGAACTGGTAGTATAAGCGGTCTATCGATAATTACTTTGTTTAAAGTCTTCTCATAGTCTTTGAGAATTGGTAAGTCTTCCTGTGAAGACAAGAAAATATCTGATTTGAACATAGTTTCAAAATATTCAGATCTTGCCATGATTGCCTTATGCACTGGTAAATAAATTATAGATTCGGAATCAGCATCTATAACAGATACAATTGTATCTGGTATAGATGATGAGTTTAAAAGTTCGGCTTTCTGATTTTCATCGATATGGAGTTCTGAATTGATTTCTTCGAAGTCTATTTCCTTCCCTAATTCGAGTTTTGAAACAATCCTATTTTCTACAATACTGGACACCAAAAATGAGTCCATATCCTTTCGTGCTTTTTCGACGAAAATAAAAGATGCACTATGTTTCGCCTTTGCTCTTTCTTTATCATTATTAGTTTCCTTTATCATTTCAATACTCGTTAGTAAATCTTCCAACTTCAATTTGGACGCAAACTTTACTAATTGATCTTGAGTCTTCGGTTGGTCCATAGGAAGTCCATCAGTTCTCAAGTACATATAATCCACAATCATTTTGAAAACAGCAGGGTTTGTAGAAGACGGCATATCAATTATTGTTTTCAAATTCCATGCACCACCTTTCTTCAATTTATCGAAGAAATACAGACTCCTTGCCGCTAATATGAATCTATTTAATCGGAAAACTTGTAAATCTCTAGTCAAAGTGCCATTAATATGAGGAAATCGGAACAATATATCGCTTGTGGGCATTTGATTCAATGGGTTCAATATGGAAGAAATGTGACTGGCAAAGGGCTGTGACATATCAACAGTTTTGGATATATCAAAACTTATCAATAAATCACGGATCGTATCATTTAATGCACCGTAAATACATCTTGCTCCTTGAAATGTATCTCTGTCACAAACAGCGCCTCTTGATAGTAATAATTCAACTATCTTTGTATGCCCGCATAATGACGCCAAAATCAATGGCGAGTAATCCCATTCATCCACCTGATTAATGTTGAGTTCTGGTGTTGAAAGTAAAGAGTCTACTGTATCAATATCTCCTGCACGGCAGCTCATACATAAATTATTGAACACTTTGACAAGATCTTGGCTGGAATCGTCAGCTGTTTGGGGTGGTGTCTCTAATTGATGGATTGCTGAAGGCATGTGGTCATAATTCATTGGAAATGTTACGTAAGTGAGCTCCTCTATTGACTCGTCTAATCCATCATTAATTGGTGTTGGCTGCCCTACTGTCATAATTATGAGTTTACGATTAATTTTAGTATTTTGCTCAAGAATTTATTCCGATTCAATAATCTTCGCAATCGACTTTAAAATCGAGAAGTAACGATAAGACCTTATCTACAATATATACTTATCTTCCAGCACAGTACATAATATAAGTGTTTTCTCCAATAATTGCGGACTTAGCTTGTTGTTAAATACATAAAATTGAGGTTTTTTTTGTTTATAGTATTGTCTGAATCTAACCTATGTTAGGAAATGTTCAATGCGTTGACGACGAATATAGAATGTATCGATGACTTGTTACTATATAGGTGTCAATGTCATACTGATGATTAATCTAACAGTTTGGTATAAATTAAGGAAGATATTGAAGTTTGGTGATTTCGTGATAATATTTTCAGATAAATTAAATGGGTGCAAATTTTAACCACAAACTCAAAGTATGAACTTAAATTGTTTACGGGTATTATTTACAGTACATATATGTAAATAAATAATCACTGCAACGATGAATTTTAAATATAAAGCTAGGACACATTTAGTATCTTATGAGGAAGCCCCTTATAAAAGGTTTTTTAATAGATTAAACAAATGGCCATCAATGCCTATCTTGCAAATCCATAATAAACAAGGTATAGTTTCAGGAGCAAAAGATGATATAAAGAGACCTCAAATAAACTCATCAAGTTCGATGAGCCTAAGTTCTGCCACATATAACTTGTTTGACACGTCGAAGTCTGGGAGTGAAACTAAATCTAACATTGAGAACTGTGATTCCTATGAATTAGATCACCCATTTAACTCATGTTACGATGAGTTCGACTCCGAAAAACAAATCGCTGACTCTCAGAGAGTTAAGTCAGAAAATATACAAAGTTCTTCTATATCATTACAAACGTTGGAGCTCACAATAGATACATGTAAGATATTTGAAAGTAAGGAGCCGGTTTGTGAGCAATTATTTGATATCTCGTTACTGTCGTTTGATGAATCAGATGCCAGCAGCTTAGTAAATGTGCTAAATACATTGAAGTTTAATAATGAATCAGATTCGAGCAATATGAAATCTCAGCAAGAAAGAAGAAAATTTAAATACCGAAGTGAAAATACTGTTTACCCTTTAAAAAATAATGAAAATTTAGTCTATGTAAGGAAAGACGGAGCTAACAGAAACTTAAAAGATCCCTATCTGAAAGATGTTTCAAGACAACAGGATAATAGGTCAGAAGAGGTTGAAAGTATTTATTCCGTAAACGACAGTCTCTCGAAAGAATATTTAATGCATTTTAAAGATCGATTAAAAGAAATAAGGAAAGAAAATATGACAATTCCAGTGACAAATAAACCTATCCACAACGGAAATAGGTTTAGTAGGGTATTCAACTATTGTTTTCTGATGAGATAATGTCTTCGCTGACTATAGAAAGATTACACGCCTGATCAAACAACTGATAATAAATAAACATTAATTATTAAACTATATTTAGATTATATTCGACAAAATAAATAAAACAATCTTAACACATCAAACGATCAATTATTGTAAGAATTAACAAAATACTTAAAAAGCTTTTGCTTAAACTTATTACCTTTCTTTGAAGGCTTGGACTCGTTAATGCCATGATCATCGTGGACAACCACTGGTGAACCACTTTCTTCTCTCTGCATATGTTCAAAGGAGGACTTTGGTAAATGGTCGCGATTAGCAGCTTCTGTAGCATCTGAAGCATTACCGGTACCTTTATAAGTAGCTTCACTGGTGGTAAATCCATTATGAATTGGCACTGTCGACTGCAAATTCTGAGGCTGATTACTGGCAGCTTCATTATTGCTCAAATTGCCAGTCTTATTAAAATTATTATGCTCCAACGAATCATTAACTGTTGCTGGAGAAAAATCGGCATGTTCCTCATTATTTGAAAATGCGTCTCCAGCTGGAGATGGAGAATCAATATTCCTTTTAGAACTTTTTCCATAGTCTGAATCCCGATCAAGTCCTTCAGAGTCATTATGGTTACTTTTCAAATTTTGGTTGTTAGTACCAGCAACCACAGGATAAGCACTATTATGATTCTCAAAATTGGAAACAGTAGGTTCCTGAGAGTATTGATTTTGGGCTACACTTGATGTGATTGGATCACCGGCTAACATATTGAAATTATCATACCCCTTGACGTCATCTTTATTAACCAAGACTGCCTCATCAATTAAATCATCATTATTTGATATTTGAGGTACACAATTTGGCTTAGGTATCTCTTCATTATTAGAAGAATCTTGCAAAGTATGGCTGGAATTACCTTTCTTCTCTTCGATATCTTGATCAACAACTTCCCGGCCAGGCTCTGGATAACTGTAGTTATTCCCGGATTCAAGTAAGTCATCTGTGTCAGTGTTATTTGGTTCAAGCTCTGTTCCAATATCTTTGTACTTATTGGATTGACTCTCAATACTTGTTGTTTCAGATTTAATTTCGTTGAGAACAGGTACAGTGATCGGATCTAATACCTTACCCTTACGTTTTTCTTCGGCGTCATTTGAGTAAACTGATGTCCGATCATTTATAAGATTAGCAGAAGGGTCAAGTGTAGTTTTCTGGACCAAATCGGGTTCGTCATGATTGAATGAAGGGCCGTCCTCCGTGTCATTTTGAACAATTTCTCTGAGTATAGATGAATCGACACCCGGCATTGAGCCAGGCATATCTTGAAGAGCTTGTTGCCCAGCATTCGAATCTTCAGCGTTTCGAATTTGCGGTTCAGAATTTAAATTTAAACCGGTCTCATCACGACTGCTGGACAAATCTTCCAAATTTTTAGTATCAGAAGTGGCACTATCGGTACGAGGAAATCTCATTGAATATGACCCAGAACCTTCATTACTAAATACTGGTCTCGGTGGAACATTATTAAAAGAATTGTCCTGCTTAGACATATAATCAGGTTTGTTACTGTTCAATCCTTGATTCTCATGGCTTTGATTAGGGTCTCGAATAGGGATCGAAGTACTGTTATTTTTTATAGGTTCCGTTTCTGTATTCAATCCATTGCCGCGGTCCGTTTCAGGATTGAAAACTGTAAAACCCTTTGCTTCTTCACTTGTAGTCTTATCTCCAGCTCTTGAAGTATCTTCCTGGTCAAAATCTTTATGGTTTAGATTTTGATATTCCGCTTCAGAGCCAACCGCCTTGGCGCTGTCATGAATAGGATTATGATCGGATGCCGTTGGCTGTGAATTATTATCTGTACTATATTTCTTCAATCCTCCATCGCTAGTCAAAATCGAATTATCATTGGAAGTGCTCTTCCTCCTGCCAAACAAGGATGCAAATCTTCCGTGCTTTTGAGCTTTCTGTGACTTTTTTTGTTCTTTTGACGAAGCTTTTAAATTTTCAGCTTCTTCCTTCTCTTTTTCTTTCATTTTCTGTTTCTGCTCTTTCATTTCAGACTTTTGTTGCTTTTTTTCTTCTTTCGCTCTTTCTTTTCGACTTGTTTGTTTAGGCTCTACATTATCTCTCAATGAAAGACCCACAAAGTCTTTATGATGATTTTGATAAACATAGTCATCATTTACACCTTGCTCATTTAATTCCTGTGCCCTCTTTTCCTTCTTTTCCTTCTTTGGCTCTTGAATAGGAGATGTGTGAGAATTCAAGGACATTGTTCTTTTTCCTTCCACCTTTGGTGATTGCTGGTTTTCTTTATTACCATAGACCCTCTCCATCGCAACTTGCATTGCAATACTATAAAAGTCTTGATCTGAAGGCTTGGTATGTTCAGGTTCCTTGGGCTTATTATCATTATAAAATATTGGAATAGTTTCGTGTTTCTCCAGAAATTTTATAGAATTTGACGCCTCTGATTTGTCGGACAATACATCATCGTGTCTTGATATTGGCGACGACATGAGAGAGTGCGTTCTCTTATTACCGGTATTTGTGCTGATTCTATTCGGTTGTTGTGGTGCTTGCATATTTGGGGATTGAGGAACTTTGAATTTAGGTGGTTCGTTGAACTGAGGACTACTTAAACTTTTATATGGATGTTGAGTATCATCTTGTTTAGTATCCAATTGATTGTTTTGCAATTCATCTACCGCATCAGCAAAACCTTCTTCATCTTCAGATCCTTTATCATTTATATTATTTTTCTTTTTCAAAATCGACTTCAAAGGTTTGGATGACTCACTGGTGATTGATTTAAGGCCAGTACTATGGATTGATTCATTTCCACCACCACCACCACCACCATACGAATGTAACTCTGGGGATTCAAAATCATCTGCGTGGTAGTTTGAGCCTTGGTTGCCATGGTTCAAACGCAAACCCTGTCCGTGAAAGTTCTCATCATGAATCAGGTCATACATTACATTATCCACATGCGGATGACCGAAACCCTTTTGGGTCAAAGTATCATGGTCAAGTTCGTAATTATAATCAAAGTCTTGCAAATCTTCGTCGATTTTTGAGAGATTATAACTTCCACCTGCATTATTTGATAGCATCGAATTATGCTTGCCTGAACTATTACCCTTCAACGACATTGATTGTGAATTCAAAGAATTAGCTCTCGAATTGTTTCTCGAAATGTTCTTCGTGGTAGTGTTAGTGACTGTGGACCCATCTGCAAACGTCTTTATGGTCTCCACCGTTACTGACAGTACTCTACCCTGAGAATCTACAACTTTGGTCGTTTTGGTGGTGACGGTAACATCACCGTCCTCTTCTCCCTCATCTTGTTCGTAGAGCACAGGTGGACTTCTCGACCTCACAAACGAATTCTGAGATGTTAACGAATTCGTCCTAGCACCGGGCCTATGGAAGGATCCGACACTAGATTTGCTGTTCAACGAATTAAATCTTCTGGCTCCTCCTTGATTGGCGCTTCCGAGTGGCTGACCAACAGTATACGATGGCTTGGGATGGTACGTATAGCTCCTCATGGAATTCGACCTATTCGATGCTGCTGTCAACGAATTGGCCCTTCTTACTGGCTGTTTCACCCCTGATCCCTGGCGTGGAGTCAGCTGGTTCTGTTGTTGATTATGCCTCTGGAGCGCTACCATTGCCGCTTGTCCTGCTCCTTGTGTCATCGATTGACTCCTGGATATTCCTGTACTAGCTATTCCCGCAACATTATTACTTTCCTGGTTCAGGTATCTGTTCAATTCGTCGGTATATTTACTAAATCCTTGATAAGAGTCTGGTCTCCGCTAATTGGCTTCGTTAGTCATGTTCCATCGCATTGCACTATTGCTAGCCCTTTGGATGCCATAGGGCGCCTCCTGATACATACTCTGCCTTTAGAGAAAAAATTAACCATTATAAGTCACTTTTTTTACGTATTTTCGATAAAGACTTTATTTAATTTCAAGTTCTGCTGAAATATGTATTCTTTATACTTCCCCCAAGACTAATTGTTTTCTGTTCTACTATTGTTTACTATTGATAATTCCTTATATTGTCATGTTTTTGTTAAATTGCGAAATACATTGTCTAAATTTTCTGTTCCGATAATTACATAAGCTTGCGACAAAGTCGGCTAAAGTCAGCCTTCTAACCGTTAGTAAGGCCTTTAGTAAAGCTTAGAAATAAGATTATTAACACTTATTTATATGGCACGATGACCATTTCTATATAAGGCAGATGAAAACTACGATTGGATGAAAAATTAAAACTTTATATTTCATGAAGTTTGAAGTTCTATTAGGGTTAATCATTTCAGCCATATATATGCTACTTATTAGAAGAATGTCTACTAAGAATATCAATTCGATCAATAACGGGATCAATAATGTTGCTAGCGGAGCGGCGCATGCTGCAATGCAAAAAAACCCACATCCATTTCCAACTTATTTTGTTAGCCATGGAGGACCAACGTTTATGTACGAGGATGATGCTTTTGGGAATAAGGGTGCATGGGACCTTATTAAGAAGCTTGGGACGCAGATCAAGAAGGAATGGAAGCCGGATTATATAATTGTTGTTTCAGCACACTGGCAGTCTAGTGGCCGTAAGTTGGTAGAGGTTAGTGTTCCGAAGTCAGGTAAGGAAAATCCACTTATATACGATTTCTACGGGTTTCCAGGCCATATGTACAAGGAAGAATTCCATACGAACAACAATTTAGCAGTTGCACAAGAAATCAAGCAAGAGCTTGAGAAGGGAGGTTTCCACAGTGAGCTCACCAAACGTGGAATTGACCACGGGGTGTGGGTACCGTTGAAGGTTGCATTCCTGGACTATAATACTTTGTCGAAGGAACAGCCAGCAGTGAAGGGCTTGGACTTACCTGAAACCTCTTTAATTCAAGTTTCTTTAACTGGTGACGAGAAAGACTTTGATTCGCATCACAAGTTGGGTAAGATATTGTCAAAATTTAGAGAGAACTTGATCTGGGATGAAAGTCAGCAAAGGTATCTTAAAGGAATGGTTATTTGCTCGGGAATGTCTGTCCACAACTTGAAAGATCTCACTTCGTTTAGAGTACCAGGAAAGGTTATGCCATACACTAAACTGTTCAATCAATTATTAACTAAATCGATTACCAATACAGACAATGTCTTGGAAAATTTGAAAGACTTGCAAACCACTTATCCTAAATTATTATACCTGGCCCATCCTACATTAGAGCATTTCGTACCAATTGTGGTTGCTAGCGGTGTTGTTGACGGAAAAGAAGAACCAATCAAGGAATTATATAATGATCATGTTGCTAGTTTAGGTTGGGGTATTTACCAATTTGGTAATAACTATTCTGCTTAAAAACTGTATTTACTACATTCGTAATTTTTCAACTTAAAATATATATTTATTTTGTAATATTAAGTAAGTGTAACTTATGCAGTGTATATATATTGATTGTGCAACTCAGAGTTCGCCATGGTGAATTTAATTCTTCAATAAATCTTTGAAAATACCTTCGATTCCCTTTTCGTCTAATCCTTCGACGTTATTTTTTATTTCCATACCTTTTTCGAATCTAGCAGTTATACTTGGTGGAATACCGTACGATTCTCTAACTAAAATTGGTAACTTGTAGTTCAGTTGAGTCTTTAATGATGGATAATTGGCGGTTAAAAATTTTCTTAATGGTATGGAAGCTTCACCAGTTTGGGATAAGTGGAATCTTAATTCCCTCAAAGTATTTGGTAAAATAAACTTAGACATTGTGGATAGTTTTAGTCTTTAATATGTAATTACGTTTGATTATCTATTCAATGCTTTATTACTACTGTTAATTATTTAATTTTAACTGGTTAAACCGAGGTCGTGTACTTGCTGCAAAATTACACAAAAATGCAAATATCATATATGGGAAGTAGTATTACAAATACTTAGTAAACTATACCTTCCTATTTTTAGGAAGTCTGTAGCAAAACGTATGATAACATATAGCTTGAATTTGGATTGGCTTGACAGCTATAACTAATTTTTTTAAACTCTTCAAGTTATGCGAGATACGAAAGAATTAAGGATTTTGCAGCTTTTTAATAATAAGTCTAAATGGGTATGGTAGCATAAACTACAAATGTTTGGTAAATCAAATGTTTATTAAATTTACATAGCACATTCTACCAATATATCTTTCATTTAATCGAGCTAAAAAGGGCTGGATCCGCTTCATCTAAGCCCAAGGAATCATAATTTGGCAAGATGTGATTTACATCTTCCACCAATTCAGGTAAGCCTGATTTCAAGGACTTTATAAGTGCATTAATACAAAGTAAAGCAGACATACCATCGTCTGCGGTACAGAAAGGTTCTTGCTTGTTATTAATAACATCAACGAAGTGATCTAACTGAAAATCGAATGGTAACGCAGAATGTAACGTTTGTTCGCGGTTTGAAACCAACGCTTCTTTGACTACTGGATTTAACCAGCTCTTATCTTCTGGTGTTTTTATATTTTTCTGATGATATAAATTAAGGTCTGGTACAGAAAGTGTGCCCTCTGACCCAAAAACACGGTAGAACCCCTCTAATCCTTCATGGAAGGGAATAGTTGGATTTTCACCAGTACCAGCCTCAAAATTGAATGGTGAAGTAACATTATCAGAACAAATAAATGTACCACAGACACCATTTTTGAATCTTAAAGTTAACGCAGCTCCTTCGTCAGCATTTGGGTATTGCTTTCTTTCCTTGGTTAAAGGCTCCGCATATACTCTTGCCACAGGTCCAAACAAGTACTGTAATAAATCAATATCATGTACCATGTTAATTAATAAAGCACCACCACCAGTCGTGATGTCTGTCCTCCATGGCGAAACATCAAAGTACTTATCAGCTTTTCGAGTAGCCCACACACCCTGAACGGCTACAATATTGCCAACCTTACTCAAATTCTTCTTGGTTTCTATGATAAATGGATTAAATCTTCTATGATGACCAACTAATAACTTTACATTCTTCATCTTCGTATATTCCTTCAATGCCTTCGATTCTTCTGCGCCTGAAGATAATGGCTTCTCTACCAACAAGTGGATTCCGTGAGATGCTAATTCTGCTGCAATACAAATGTGTAGCGAATTGGGAGTACAAACTATTGCCCCATCAGGATATGGTGTGTTTGTTTCGTTGCAGTACTGAATCATCTCACTAATAGACTTGAAGGCACGAACTTTAAATTTTTCAGCTGCAGTAACTCCAGCTGGAGTTGGATCAACAAACCCGAAAAGCTTAGTTTGCGGATTCTGGTAAATATGTTGGGCATGACGAGGTCCAATAAGCCCTGCACCAATAACAACTATTTGTAATGAACTGGATACCATGACGAATCTTTAAGTCTTATCGCTATTTATGGCTAATTCTCTGAAAAATATAGACCTCTCTAGATAAATCTACTGATACTTGAAGTACTATAGATATATATACCATAAACGTGAATGAATTCTTAATTGGATAGTTTTCTGTAGGTCACTAAAATATTCATCCTATCATAGTTATATATGTATAGGAATTTTTCACTCCCCCAGGTTTTGCGGAGTTGTCTCGGATAATTTCATAGCCGTTGATAACAAGCTGATAGGTTATTTCTAGGTTTTTATATGGGGTATATGGACTAATACAACTGATAAGAACGGTTATCGGAGACTAATACTCCGGAACCCAGAATTATCTATTAGAAAGAGTAGGTTTATATATACGTTGTTTGATACAACAGCCTTAATGATGGTTTTGTGTAATTATGAACCATTCAAGTCAAAATTATCAACATTAGCGTATATATTGCTTAGAAAAGCCAATAGATGATCTTTTTTTAATGTCATTCGATATCAATTGGTCGGATCTTGTTTCAGATGAGTCGTTGAATGAATCTATCAAGGATTTCCTTGATAATCAATTCCAGAATATATCGCTACCATCGTTTATTGACAATTTGTCGGTGTCAGATTTCAGTCTTGGAAACTCATCTCCAGAAATCACTATTCGACACATAGGGGATCCGTTCGACGATTTTTATGAAGCTGAGGGAGAAGATGATGAAAAGGAAAAAAAAAACGTTTATATGCAGCAAGGAGTCTCGAGGGATAGTAATTCCAGTGACGAAGATGACGATGACGAATACGACGGAGATAGAAGTAATGATTTATCCATAATTACGGAAGATCCGAATATACATACGTTCACCAGTGAAGCTGGCCGATCGAGACTTGCTAGCCCTCCATCGGCTCCTCTTACAGATCTTCGGAGATCCCGTGCTGCCCTGGATCCGTTCTCGTTGATTATGGGGAATAATAATTTGAACTACATGCATAATTATAATATGAATTATGTTGGGCTTGGGAACCTCAATGCCACTGGAACACACACAGGTACCGATACACCAACAAATATACTTAACCAAAACCCTTACGCCACCCTAAAGAGTAACCCATCTTCGTACTACAAGAATAAAGATTCGTCAAAGTTCTCAGGTAGCGACACTCACAAGAATGGATTCAGACTCACATCGAAAGAACCTTGCTCCACTAGAGGGGAGAATGATATTCAACTAATTGCCGAAGTCAAGTATAATGGTGATTTGCATTTGGAGCTAACAGTTAATTTATTGGTTAACTACCCTTCTCCTAACTTTATTTCGTTGCCAATCAAGCTACATGTAACAGATTTAGTGATACATTCAATTATCACCATAGCATATTTGAAGAACTCTGTGTTCTTCTCATTTCTTTGTGACGTTAATGATATAAATTCAGATTACTTCACATCAAGCACTCAGAACTCAACTCCAGAAAATATGAACGGGACCACCAATACCGGAGGAAATTTTGTAGATTATATCTCTGGACCAATTAACAGAGAAAGGATTGACATTATCAAAAAGGTAAAAATTGAATCTGAAATAGGTGAAGCAGAACAAAATGCATTGCGTAACGTTGGTAAAGTGGAAAGATTTTTGGTTGAGCAATTAAGAAATATAATAAGAGACGAATTTGCATGGCCCAGCTGGGTCTGTTTTGACTTGAATGACGATGAGGATGATGAAAGAGATGATCAAGATCAAAGAGATGATCAAGAGGAAAATTAATTTAATACTTGTGTATATATATAAATTTAAGTGCGATCTTAAAATGACTACTTTTTTTTCACGATATACTTCTTGTAAGGTTAACAAAATGACGGCTGATGTGTCTGAGCTAGTACGTCAATTCAAGTTCTCTAAGTTATTGAAGACTGACCCCCAAACCAAATCAATTGTCTTCCTTGGTAAAATCAATTCTGATGATGCTATTATTTCTGTCGAGAAGTCTCATTTTATCACTGATGAGTCTGATGTTAAAGTTAATGAGATGGTAGAGAATTTGCAAATAATAAATCATAATGATGTCTACTACTGGTCACTGGCTTTGCTTACACAATCCTTACCTGATTTACCGTCAGGTAAACTCAACATAATATATCCAGCGACTGAAACACATATCAAAAAGTACGGCCAGCAAAATCTCCATTATGTATTGGAAACGCCAGAAACATATGAAAAATTTGTCAAGCCTTATATAGAATCAATGCAAGGTGATAGAATCAAATGGGTTTATAATATTTTGTTCGAAGGCAAAGAGTCGGAAACATTCATATACCACGATAAGGACCCACAGGAGGGATTTGTACTTTTGCCAGATATGAAGTGGGATAAAATCAATATGGACTCCTTGTATCTTTGTTGCATAGTCAATAGGACTGATATTTCTTCTGTTAGAGATTTAAACGCTTCACACCTTTCGTTTTTGATAAACATTCAGAATAAAATACGAAAGATCGCTAGCAAAACATTCCCAATAAAGCCCGATGAATTAAGAATATTTATCCATTATCAGCCATCCTATTATCATTTTCACATACATATTGTAAATGTCACACACCCAGGTTTAGGTGATGGAATTTCAGTAGGTAAAGCAATTTTGTTGGATGATATTATCGAAAATATCAGGTTTAAAAATGACTATTACATGCAACGTAATCTTGGTTATTTGATTGGAGAGAATCATGGATTATGGGATGATGAAGGATTTAGAGAATCACATTATACGCAGCTTAGAGATAATGGATTGATTTAATATTTGCTAATGCGATAAAAATGCTTGATATATTAAAACTAGTATACAGAGTAGGTAGGTATAAATAACTAATAGTTAAATTCACTACTGTTCGAATTAAGGGCCATTTTTGCCATTCTTAACATTTTTTTCCTTGGATCCTCTTTCTTTATCTTTTTACTGTTATTCACCTCTTGGAATCCTGTACTGCTTCCTACAGATTTACCTAACTTCTTTGGGGTTTCTCTCAACCCAAAGCTTTTAGCCAAATGACCTAAATGCAATAGTTTTACATTAAAGAAACTCCTCTCTGTAGATAAATGAGTAGCATATGCTCTAATATGTGAAGTAAATGCTTGTACCGCCCTGTCGTGAGCGGTACTATCTTCCAACAACCATCTTTCAACATCTAAATGCCATGTTGTAGCATGAATATCCCATTTACCGAATCTCTTCTTAGGGTCTGGTTTGCTTGACGTCTTCTTTTCTTCTTGATCTTCTTCAGGTTCAGCAAAACCTTCTTTTAAAACGTCTTCATAGCTGATAATTCTAAGGTTATCCTCTTTTGGATGAACCACTCTGATTTTTCCATCAACATAGCCTTCTTCATTCCCAGGTAACAAGAATAAAACAGCACTACCTTCATTACCAACTCTCGCAGATCTCCCAATTCTGTGTAAATGATCTTCAACACTGAAAGGTGGGTCATATTCAATAACACTGGAAATGTTTGGTAAATCCAAACCACGAGAAGCAACATCAGTACAGAATAATACGGAATGCTTAGCTGAATTTTTGCCTTCGGATTTTTCTTTAATAAACGCTTGTAATGTAGTTGCACGCTGTTGTTGCGATAAAGAACCGTGAAGCTTATATACACATGAGCTTGATCCCAATAGAGGTGCAGTTAAAATAGTTGGTTTCTCTTCTTCATTATCATCCTCATTGTCATACTTAGAATAGTATGGAACTTCAACTGTCTCGAGCTTATCAGTTTCTCTATTCTTTCTCTTTTTGAACATGTTACCATTTCTAGTAAACACGTCGAAATGGAAGTTAAGAGAATCTGAACACGAAAAAAAGACAATAGTTCTCCTATTGATCCCATCATCAAGGCTATTAGTTTCCTTGGATAATTTTTTCAACATTGCACTGAGAGCGACAAGTCTCAATTTCGGTGGAACAACTAAAATTTTTTGAATCAATTGATCTGGTGCAGACATTCTCTTTCCTTCCAAATTGTTAGACTCAAAATTATTTTGTTCCTCTTCATCATCAAAGTTAAGCGTTCCTTCAATTTGTTTATTAGAATCAACAGATATGGTTTCCGGATTATTTAAAATCATATTACCTAATTTCTTAACGTTATCTTGAATTGTAGCGGAGCATAAAACATTAACTCTTTCAGTTGGTAATCCCTGATACTTGTGTATTGTTTCAGATATCTTAGAGTTTTTAGAAATATTGTCAGTAATTTTAGTGATTGTCTCTTCAAAACCTAACTCTGTCAATCTGTCACCTTCATCCAAAATCAACCATCTCAATTGACTTACGTCCAAAGACGTAGTATTTTCCATATGATCCGCTAACCTCCCTGGAGTTGCAACCAAGATATTTACACCCTTCCGAAGCCTTGCCTTTTCAGATTTTTTCTTTTCTCCACCAATAACAATGCCTGGCACAATATGATGATGACATCTAACTAACGTTTCTAAGACACCGTAAATTTGAGTACACAATTCTCTAGTTGGAACTAAGATAATTGCAAATAATCCGGATTCACGAGTGATTTTGTACTTCTCTTCTGACATTAGCTTGTGAAAAATTGGTAGTAAGAATGATAAAGTTTTACCAGAACCTGTCTGTGCCTTAACAAACAAATCTCTCTGAGTTGCTATCAAGCTTGGAATGACTGCTCTTTGTACCTTGGTTGGGGCTTTAAAACGTAACGATTCTGTTAAATGTGTGGCCAATTTGTCATTAAGCCCAAGACCATCAAAAGTTGTCGCATCCTTCAATGGTGCATTGGATGGTAAATACGTAGTGGTTTCAGCAGACACATCCGTTGGTGTTAAAGTAGAACTCGCTTCGTTAGAAGTAAATAATGATGAAACGTAAGAGCTGTTCTTTCCACCAAATTCGCCCGATGTTTCTTTGAATTTTATTCTCTTCGATGATGGACCTAAATGGTCTTGATTCGTTGGAACTCTTCTTTTCTCTTGTGCTGGCTTTTCTTTAGCAGTATCCAATGAATCCTTTGCTCTATCCAATCTAGAATTGTCGATATCGGTACTATTGACTCCGGTTGCCACTATTTTCTCTTTTTTCTGATTTCTACCTCTTCCTTGTAAAGATAATTGAAGCTTACGACGATCCTTCCATCTTCCACCAGTAACTTTATTTCCAGACTTTTTTGCCTTGTTTCCCGTTGGTCCTGAACTGCTAGGAGCAGCAAAGTTCAACAATAACCCGTCATCTTCGTCCATTTTCGTAATAATTCGTTGCAAGTTTATTGATAAGATTTCATACTAGGTATAATTTTTCACGTATAATAAATATAATGAGCCGCATGATGCCTCTCACGTGAATCTTAAAGTCTACTTAGACGCATGCATTAAACCACCTATTTAAACTAATATACACTATACGGTAAGGCCTATAATATTCTAATCTCTTCCATTATTAGTATTGAGTCAACGCGTCGATATATTCACTCATATTTGTTTCAGTCGCCAACTCAATTCCGTCTGCGCCATGATTGAGATGTTCTTTATATTCTTGAGTTTTCTTATTTTCTGACCCAACCCATTGCAAGGATGACCATTCTTCTTCTGTAAATCTTTTAACGTGTTTTAATGATTCACCCAATGTGTGATTAGCAAACCCATCCCCTGAATTAGCCTGGGAATTTGACTTGGCAGATGTTTGCAAAATCTGGATATTGTTTGGTTTCTGGCTCTCAAAATTATCTGCTCTACGCTGGGCCAGTTTAGATGCTTCCAATTCATCCAAGTACTTGAAAGAAGGCCTTAATTGTGCTGTGCTATCAACCGGTATCAACACAAATTTTTTTTTGTCGTCATCATCTTTGAGTAATTGACCAGCATATAATCCTCTGTTAGTCTTGTTTAATACCCCTTGTAAGCTATGCTCTGTTACTTCAGTCCCCCATTCTTCGGTTCTTGATCCATCATAAAACTTCTCAGTATCCAACGGTACTTTAACCTCAACATAGTTGGATTCCTCCTTTACTGATACTATTGGATGTTCATTGGAAAAGTCACGGGCCTTGGGTCTACCCGTGTATTGTAATATGTGTAAAGATTGTCTGGATCTGTCTGGTAACCCATTCATTATAAGCGGAATCGATTCAACGATAGGATCATCATCGCTAGGTTGTTCCTCGTAAGCTTCGTGAAATTGAACAGGTGAATCTGAGTCTGAATCAACATTCATGTGATCGTCCTCCTCGACGAATAAAGCTTCGTTTGACATAGAAGATGCAGCCATAATAGTTCCTTGAACACCGGGATCTACCCTATCAATGAACCATCCCATCTTAAAATTCTTTAGCACATCAATTATGTCACGTGATTATACTTTTGGAGACATCTCAATAAATATTACTGAAGTCAAGTAAAGAAGGCCTTAGGAAACCAGCTAAGACTTCGGTATAGATTGTAAATAGCATAGAAAACTTATCATGGACGAAAGCTTCGACATCAAGCAAACTTATCTCAAATTTTTAGAGGAAGATAAAGACATGACTATGCCTATTGCGGCTATTGAGTCATTAGTCACCATGTTGAGAATCAAAGAGCCATCTACATCTTCTGAGTTGATTAACTTAGTAAAATCTAATACAGAAATATTGAAATCATCTATTCCTAATGCGATCTCGCTTTCTGCTGGTTGTGATTTGTTTATGAGATTCGTTTTAAGAAATACAAATTTATATTCCGATTGGGAATCGTGCAAACAGAATCTAGTTGAGAATGGTGAATTGTTTGTCCAAAGGGCCAAGGAATCAAGAGCGAAGCTGGCTGATTTTGGTCTTCCGTTTATTAAGGATGATGATACTATTTTGGTGCATGCCTTCTCTCGTGCCGTGTATCAATTGTTATTGAAAGCAAGATCTGAAAAGTTGCTCCGTTTTAGAGTGATAGTCACAGAATCTCGTCCTACTGGTACAGGGTACCACATGGCTAAACTTTTAAGAGAAGCAGATATTCCAGTAGAATTAATAGTTGACAATGCCGTCGGTTACGTTATACATAAGGTTGACAAGATCTTGGTGGGAGCTGAAGGTGTGGCTGAAAGTGGTGGTATTATTAACCACATTGGATCTTATCAAATTGGTTGTCTAGCTAAAGCCAATAATAAACCATTTTATGTGGTTACTGAATCGCATAAGTTTGTGAGGTTGTTCCCATTGGCACCAAATGATTTGCCTACTGCTATCCAATCGAAACAAGAGAATGGTGACGATGATGAAGATTTATTTAAAACCCAGCTCATTGATTTCACTCCGCATGAATATATTACTGCTTTAATCACTGATTTAGGGGTCTTAACTCCTTCTGCAGTTTCAGAAGAATTAATTAAAATATGGTATGATTAGGTATATATATAAATCATGCACTATTTAATGAGATAAATCGCCATAATTCTAGTTATCGTATGCTATATGCCTCAACTTAACTTCAAGATCATTTAAGTCGTAGTAATCTTGATGCTCTTCCCGTTTCACCTCTACGCATGAAATATTCTTTTCGGATTCTAAATATTCATGCTCCACTTCTATCTTCGGATCTTTCATGTAAAATAAGTGAGTAATATATTTATTCCACTGAATTTGGTTACTTACGTCTTCGATATTGGATGTCATTCTACTTTCGCTTAATGAGTAAGTAGCCAGCTTAACGATCACTCTGACGAAGTCGGCTGCAGTCATACCAAACGTTTCCCTATCGTTCGTCCCGTTTAGCAATAATATACGCTTTTTCTTTCTGCCCCCTTTCTCTTGTATGATATCATTCGCAATGGCTTTCCCTACGCCTTTCAAGATGACTATAGGTACGATACTTGTCATTAATGAACCGATAGAGTAAACTATCACATCAGCATTTGCCAAGCTGTTAGTTACTCTGCTGTTTGCAGTGGGGCAAATTTCTTCTCCATAGGGAGAAATATAATATATACGTTCAATTGGAGATAACAAAGGTTCGATATGGTCAGATTTATTGAAATGTAATTGTGATTTCTTTAATGCCGGGTGTGTGTATTGAGGAACATGACCAGACTCTTCGTCAGAAGAATCATCTGATAAATCTGATACAATACTGTTTGTATCGTTATAATTCACATGGGCAGGGTCGTTGGTTCCAAGGAAAAAAACCGATTCAGAGTTATCATTTATTCCTTCTTGTGGAGTTCCAGGATGAGACGCATGAATTGGAGGAGGGTGAATATCCACGTCAGTGTCAGATTCCGATGGGTGGGAAATTTGGGATTGACCAGTTATAATTAAACCGTTCTCTAGCAAAGCGGTGATATGGTACGTAAAGTTTGTATTAAGACACGGTAAAACTTGGGTATCGGCGTCAATACCAGTCAAACGGGAAAATAACTCTATAGCTGAGTCTAAAGAACCGATGAATAATCTACCGCCAGTTAAAAAAAGGTTCCCCACGTTAGCTAGCTCGTATCTAAATTGCCTCTTATTTGTATGTAACGAGAACAGATGCTTCGATCTCTTCAATAGGTCACTATGAACATGTATGAAAAATGCTCTAAATATTTCCCTAGTCGAGGGATCTATATTAGCCCACAATGGATGAGTCCCGTCGACTATTTCGTTCCACTGAACCTTTGCCTCTCGTGGATCTGAAGACAACCTAAAGCTAAGCAATTTCCTTAAAGGCTCTTGATTCTCGGGAATAAGCCTCGTCAAACGCGATCTTATATCTCCAATAGCAGGTCCCCCTGTGATACGTATCAACTCTGATGTAGAACCACCGTTGTCCAGGATCGGTAAAATGTATGTGATATTTGCAGAAACTGATTTGAATAACGAAACAAGCTCATTTGTAGCTGTTCCACCGCTTAGAACGGCAATTTTGATATTATCTTGTGACATCACACTGTTTGTTGCCGTCTAAGTCGAATTGGCAATATAGAGTACACCTATGCTACGAAGAACACACTAAAGATCGGAGTATGTACGTGGATTGATACTCCAGTCACGCGCAGAAATGGGTGAGTGTCTGTGTGCACGAACAGATCAGAATTGTGGCCCAATGGGTGTAGTGGGTTTAGAGTAGTGGGTTTAAGAGAGTCGATCTAGTTGCATGTACTTGGGTGGTATCTTATAAAAGATGGTGTAGTAGGTAGATTGAATGCGTTGTGGTGGGTTTGTCTGGTTTGGCTGGTTGGGACAGGTTGAGGCCTGTTGTTTTGCATCCATTTCAAATGATTCGATACATCACTGGTGCATCTTATAGATATACAATCGTAAGTATTTATAACCATATATAAAGATTCGTAATATGGCTATTCAGTAAGACAGATATTTGTAAGTCAGATAAAACGTGGCATGATGGTCTCAATTACTCTACCTCTGGGATCATCTTAACCAACATATGTCGTTTATAGACATGCCACACGAATCAATTGTCATATCATATATTCTCATAAACTTTCCTACATAGGCAAGCATCATCATGAGCAAAACCTGATTATCCTGAAAAATTCAAAATATCCATATTATCCAAATTACCTAAATTATCCAAATTAACGTATTTACTTCAAAACATCATAAATTTCAAAAATTGTCTAAAATCATTAAACTTAGTAACTCCAAAAATCAGCTGCCCAACCCAAATTTCTAATACGCCTCACACAATATCCCCATTTTCTACTCTCTATTACAATATACTTGTTGCAGACGTTCCTAGTTACTAGTGTCCCGCATTAGTCCCGCAACAGGCTCTTACACTCCTACAATAACTATCAAGTTGCAGCAATCACGCGCAACAGCACGTGTTCCCTCGTATTTCTCGGCTAAAAAACAGTCACCTCCAAATGAGTATTTCCGAGCACAGTTGCGTAGTTAAGCTTATCACGGCCCCCCAGACTCAAAAAAAATCTCAAAAATAACAGACTCCGGGCATCGTAACCCAATCAAGCGGTTTTGTGTAATTTAAATTCTGAAAATTATTCCTTAGTGCTGCATTGGTGAAAATTTTTTGATTAATACTACCTCTATAGAAAGAAAATTCATTAATTAAACAACACAGTATTTTATTATAGTAACAATGGCTGATCAAGAAGTTTTAGTTTTAAGAGGTACCTTAGAAGGTCACAACGGATGGGTTACTTCGTTAGCCACTTCCGCTGCTGATCCAGATTTATTATTATCTGGTTCCAGAGATAAGACTTTAATCACCTGGAAATTAACCGGTGATGACAGCCAATACGGTGTCCCAAAGAAGTCTTTCAGAGGTCACTCTCACATTGTCCAAGATGTCACTATCTCTGCTGACGGTGCTTACGCATTATCTGCTTCTTGGGATAGAACCTTGAGATTATGGGACTTAGAATCCGGTGAATGTACCCAAAGATTCGTTGGTCACAACGGTGATGTCTTATCTTGTTCTATTGCCAAGAACTTGAGACAAATCGTTTCTGCTTCCCGTGATAAGACCGTCAAGGTCTGGAACACCATTGGTGAATGTATGCAAACTTTATCCGGTCACAACGATTGGGTTTCTGCTGTTAGATTCTCCCCATCCGAAGACTCTTCCACTGTCATCTCTGCTTCATGGGATAAGACTGTTAAGGTATGTGCAATTTCTTTTTAATTTTTCAAATGTTTTTGTGGGCCGACATAGTTCGTGGGATCTCTTCTCTATTGGTTATGGCTAGATGATGTATTTCATATTTGCTACTTCAGACGGGGCTCGCCAGCTTCGAATGAGACATATTTTATCACCAAGATCTCTGATACTCCATAACCTCACTTTTTTGATCTTACCCACAGAATTATGTTCCTCGACATTTTCTACCCGTTTCGGAATACTAACATAAACTAGTCATGGGACTTAAACGAATACAATGTTAACGCTGACTTCATTGGTCACACCGGTTACATTTCTTGTATCACTATCTCCCCAGATGGATCATTATGTGCTTCTGCTGGTAAGGACGGTGTTATCATCTTATGGGACTTGAACTCAAACAAGACCTTATACACCTTGAACGCTGCTTCTGAAGTTCACGCTTTAGCTTTCTCTCCAAACAGATACTGGTTAGCTGCTGCCACCGCTTCTGGTATTAAGATCTTCAACTTACAAGAAAGAACCTTGTTAGATGAATTGAAGCCAGAATTCGCTATTGGTGCTAAGGCTAAGGACCCAGAAGCTGTCTCTTTAGCTTGGTCTGCTGATGGTCAAAACTTATTTGCTGGTTACACTGATAACGTTATCAGAGTCTGGCAAGTTATGACCTCTTCTGCTTAAATTACTTAATAGTTTTATAGTATTTGAGGTTTCTAGTTTCCAATAAAACAAAATAAATGTACATTATAAAAAAAGTATATGTAATGTGTTCGTTATCTATTCGAATAAATATAATTTACCACTAGCGCTTCCTCCTACACACCAATTTTCTATGGGATGCATGGCTGTGACTGCTGGTACTGCTCCTACCTTCTCTGAATCTGTTAAATGAGCTAATATTTGCCCCTTTTGATCGAAGATATCTAATCCACGATTCATATTTGCAATAACAAATTTTTGAATCCCATCACCTGGAGACGTCTGCCATCTAGATTTGAGAATAGAGACCCATCTACCAGTTTGACAGTTGTGCTTGATTCTGGTGAAGGGTTTTATATTGCTTGGAATTAGTTCATCATTATTTTTCGTACCTGATTGGTACGTCTTCGACCATTCAGTAACGGGCGGTAATTCCAGACTTTCACCACTTAAATCAAAAATATTAATTGTATCATCATATCCATTACACACCAACCTATTTTCATAGTTCCAGTCAACAGAAGAAACGGAAAGTCTGGATGAATAGCTGCCATAAACGTGAGGAGATATCTGGTTTTCATACTCAGACCAACTACTATTTGATTTACTAATATTACGCAAATCCCATATCCTGAACGTTCTATCTAATGATGCAGTTGCAATTTGATGAGATGAATTTGGATTAATACAAAATGAACCTATTTTCTTATCATGTAACCTCAATAATGAATTAGGTTTGATAGATTTGAACGGAGTTCTTAAATCATGCTGGTAGAAGTGTCCACCTAAAGTAGTTAAATATAACACATTTGGGTTCCCTTCCTGACATAAATTAATATCTGAGACGGCTAATGGGTAGTCTTGAGATTCATATGGATCTTTCAAGTAGATTACTTCAGACGATTCTAGTTTATTCAAATCAAGCTCTCTTACGGAACCATCATAAGCGCATGAATAAATTTTTGAAGGATTACTATGAGGTGTGAGTATTCTGGCAATAGACCTACCATGAGGCTTTAAAATAGTGATAGCCGGATCTTCATCTTCAGTTGAATCAACAGCCCATATACCTAGATTACCTACTTTATCACCTGCAGTGATGACTCTATCAGTTTTTGATGGATGAAAATTTATTGCAGTAATTCTCTGATGGGTGATTTTAATATCCAATGGGTCGAAACGTTCGAACAATTTCAAATTATCAAATTCGTTTCGTTTTGATTCTAATCCCTTATCATCATAATCCAGGGAGGAGTTTCTTATTAAATCGTAGAAATCACCAGCTGAGAATTTGTCGCCGAGATCCTTCAATATCTCCAATACTTTATTATCATCTTCAATATCTTCATCTTGTAAATGGCCATCTTCTTCTTCTTTTATATCTTTAGTATCGTTTTTCTCCTTCTTTATTTCATTTGGCAATTTTAGGACTTTCTTTTCGAATTTCATATCTCCCAGTCTTTTGTCCGTAACTAGATCAATTAAATGGAAATTGCCAAATAGTCTTGTCAGCTTCAATTTTTCTAACTCTTTCTTCTTTCGTTCAGCTTCCTCCATTTCTTCCTTAACCTTTTGATACTCCTCTGTATTTTCCATTGTAACACCGGCTAATCTTCGTGACCGCCTAGAAGGCTCCTGAGGCTCCCTTTTAATCGGCTTTGCTGCATTATTGGTCTTCCTCTTTTTTGCACCATTGGCTTGTCTTTGATTAGGAATCTCTCGAGAAATCGAATCAGTTGCCGAATCTAAGTTCAATTTACGGAGGAGATCTTTATTTCTCTGTATATTTTCTTGTCTTTGCTTTTCAAAATCAGATAAAGGTGCCATTATGCCACTGCATGCCTTCTTGACTTTAGACATTTAAAGAATATGTCTAGAAAATTTTGAACCGTTTTACGCGTATTGGCGAGAAATTCACACCCATTTATAATGTACTTAATTAAACATGCATTAGAATGACTATCTTATTTCTATTTAGAAACTGTATCCACATATCTTAAGATATCAGCACACAAATACAAGCTCCCGCATACTACTACATTTCTATTGTCGCCCGATAATTTGAGCTCATTTACATAGTTTAGCACCTTTTCAATGCTTTGCCCAGAAGCATTTATATTTCTCACGTCCTCAACATAGTTTTCAGCTACCTTCTGCACATCTTCACACGAGTAACTTGAAATCCAAGGCATTTGATCAGGAATAGAGAAGATTGTAGGTATAATTGTATCATTTTTATGAATAATGTGCTTCAAAAGATTATCAATCGATTTACCCTTAGTTAATGCAATCACAAATATAAGTCCGCTTCCATTATTTCTGATTTGCTCAAGGTATTTTGCAAGCTCTATAGCTGCACTTTCATTATGGGCACCGTCTAGAAGAAGACGCAAACCTGTTTTTGGAATATTTATGGATTGTAACCTACCTGGCCATAAAGTTTTTTCGATTCCCAGTTTGATAGTGTCTTCAGTTAATTTTGATTCTCCGTTTTCACTATTCAATGACGAATGATTTTGGAGCTTAATCACATCTAGTATTTTTAATGCTATACTCAAATTTTGCAATTGGTAGTCACCCTTGAGAGGGGAGTATTTCACAAGATATTTAACGTCGTCAGAACAACACAGCTTGTCCGTCGGATATGTTTCTGCTTCACTTATACCGTCCACCATGTACAAATCTGACATGGTATCTTTTGCGACTTTTTTCAACACATCCAAGGCTTCTTGATCATTTTGTCTATCAACAATGCACGGTACGGACTTTTTCATAATACCAGCTTTCTCATACGCGATTGCTGCCAATGTATCACCTAATAATGCTTCGTGATCTATACCTATTTTTGTTATTCCAGTAGCTATAACCCCACCTTTATGATCAGCCGTACTATCAGCAATGAAAGGCTCCAATACATTCGTAGCATCAAGCCTCCCCCCAAGACCAACTTCTATTATTGCTAACTCAACCCTTTCTACTTCAAAAATTTTGAACGCAGTAACCGTTAAAAGCTCGAATTCTGTACAACCTAATCGTAAAGATGTATTCTCTTTTTGAACGTAATCGCTGATACTCTTAAATTTTGCAAGTGGATAAACTTCATTATTTATGCAAATAGAATCATTATAATATACCATATGCGGTGAAGTAAAACGGCCATTTCTAACCTTGGCTTGGGTTAATATGGAGGACAAATAAGCTACCGTAGACCCTTTACCATTTGTCCCTGCAATATGGATGGATTTATATGTATTTATATGTGGATTTCCAAGATGGCGAAGTAATTTTGTAACTCTAGAGAGCCCTAGATCAATTGGCATAATTATGGACCTAAATTATTTACGTTATATATTTGGAGAATATAATTTTGAATATTTTGTCGTATCTCAAAATTTTGATGCGATAAAAAACTGTTTTATTCAACTACTAAAAAGACGATTCAATAATCCGTAACAATCTTAATTAACTGAATGTCTATTGAAAAGGAAAACAAGAACAACTTTGTCCAGGAAAGGTTGGATTCACTTTATGAAATTGATTGCAAGATCGTATCTTTGCTTGACAATATGTCAAGCTTGTTCCAAACATACTCCACACCTAAATCTAGCGATAACGACCTAACTGAACAAAAGGACCAAATGAAGGCTCAAACTAAAACCATATATAATGCAATAAGTAATGTTGCAATAGGATTGAGAAAAGAAGTTAAAATAATGGATGAGAATATTGGAGTCTATAATAAGAATAAAGACGGAGTTATGATACTACCAATTAGTGTCGACCAGAAGAATACAACATTGGGAACAAGGAAGCTTAACGACGAAATCAAAGAGTTGAATACTATAGTAACCCGAGAAGAAACGGAAGATGCAATGAATGATGCACACCTGGGAGCTACAACAAAAGAGGAAACTAATATTAAAAACGAAGATTTGGAGAAGGTGAAACAAGAGAATATAACAGCCACTGAGATGAAGGAGCAACCGAACGAAAATGAAGACGAAGATTTTGATATGATTGCTTAGGATCTCTACATACTTGAAAAGTCCTACATTCAAATGCTTGAGTTATTTACTTATTTCATCTATTGTACATATATATCTTTTCCAGTTTATATTTCTTCAAGATAACCTTGTTGAATTAATCTCTCAACATCAGACTTTCTCACATAAAACTGGGAGTCCTTAATTAAGTTAAATACACCATATTCAGTTTGAACTTCACCTCCATTTTTAAGGACCCTGACATCAGTAAATATATTAGTAGGTGGATCTAAATCTCCAGACAAGTCTATATCGGCAAAATTCGACTTGTAATTAGTTATTAAATGTTGATAATTCTTGTAGTATTCCTGCTCTGCATGATTCAAGTTATCTAAATTCAATTGTGTAGTATAATTGGCAGAATTACTAACCAATGCATTAGATCCATTTCCTGTGGAGCCGAACTTATTTCTATTTGGGTCAGTATTGCCTGATTCTGTTATGGGATCAATATTCAACCAAGAGAACTCATCGATTTTGTCGGCCCTTAATTTTTCATACGCCAACAAACATCTTTTATTTCTACGCATACACAAATGTGTAACAAATAGTTGACATTGATTTATCTTCATTTTTTCTTCATCAGCATTTTCTGAATCTTCTTCTTGTATTCGTTGTTCTTCACCTAAGTATTCAGCATCTTTATTAAGATCAGTTGTTTCTTTTATTATACTTTTTACTAAATCAGTTTGGTATAAAGGTAGTTCTGATAAGTTAGACGACCTCTTAGCATCAAGGATCAATTTGTTAGCGAGATTCCCGTACATATGGTATGTCAATGCTGAATTGTTTGAAGTATTAAAATGATTATGAATTTTTGGCTCGTAAATGTTTTTTCGTATGTATACGCGTGTAGATTAAAGACGCTTCCTAGCCTTGGAAGTGAAATAGAAATCTTAGACGTTAAAGTAATTTGATATATACTAAATCTAGTCAATACGTATATCAAGATACTATTTTCACCCTATGTGAGTTCATGTAATAGTTCAGAAAGTATATATATATATATATACATTGCTTACAAGCTACTGACTTTTGCACATCCAAGTACGCATATTTATTGCAACTGGCTGCTTATTATAAACGTCTTTCTAATTCATTTGAGTCATCTTATAGTGTAAGTTAAAAAGAATAGTTGACTGTAAATGAAAAGATTTGGCTATGTCTATTAAATAATCCTTAATAAATCTTGTCTTATTAGAGAGATTCATTTTGCTAAAAAAGCTAGCTCGTATGGCGCAGTGGTAGCGCAGCAGATTGCAAATCTGTTGGTCCTTAGTTCGATCCTGAGTGCGAGCTTTCTATTTTTGTATTGCAAATTCTGCATTTGATATCATTAAGAGCTTTCGTGCCTATCATGACAAAGTTGTCTATTTGCATCATGATATCAGAAGGGAATGTAAGTGATAATTATGCGATATAACAGCCATCTTAAAATTGGTACTCAATATTGAAAGCTTATAGGATCTCAGAGATTTAAAGCAACTATGAAGAATTGAGAACAAACTTCTTGAAATTTGCAAATCTTGGAAAGCTATGTCTTCAACAAACGGATATATATAATAGTAAAGCAAGAAACTAGGATTTCTAATACTTTACGCCTTATCATTTAGCATAAATCATTCTAGATTACAGATCTAGTAGCTGAACATTTTTGGTTTTGTGGCACAAACATATGTTTATCAAATCTAATCTTTGGGTGAGCAATGTTACAGTTGACCATGATATAATTGTCCTGTTAGTTTAGAATCTAAGTAGAACAATCTAAGCAGCTATTTATGGAATTGAATGAAACAAGTAATGATCGGACCATTGATAGCTCATTGAACTTATTGATAAGACATCCTAATGAATATTCGACTTTTCAAGGAATCTCTTCTAAGATCTTGTCTGACGAAGGTCAATCATCGTTGAAAAATGATGAGCTTAACAACTTTTTGGATTTGAACAAAGAAGTCATCATCAATCCTCTTATTTTCAAAGCACAAGACTTTCACAAAATATTAGATGTCAATCTTAAAGAAATATCTATTCGTCATATCCTATACACTGACGTCACCCCCAATAATGTAAGGGATGCAACAGAAGTCGCAAGCATATTAGGCCTTGACGAGAGGGAAGTTTTGAGAATAATTGTACAAACTTGCAGAAAGTTCCCAGAGAAAGTGTTTCAAGATGAAAGCCATAACTTAAACTCCATCCCTGCTGAAAGCTCAGAAAAATCATATCGTAGTCAAAGACTAGTATTCTATTGTGACTCTGTCTTGAATGAACGGCGCATTGTGGCTTACATTTGTCTTTATATGATAAGCAACAGAAACCCAACAAGTGAGGATAAGATAGATCTATTTAATGATGCGGTTGATTCCACGGACTATGCAATAAAACGTATTGATGCGATAGAGAATCTTATGAGAAATTTAGTGGATTACTCGCATCACGCTGGTTTATCAGAAGAGCTTCATTCAATGCTACTCAATGACAATATTTTGTTCACGATAATATCCTTCAAAATTCTAATCCATTTTTTTGACGTAATCCCCAAATACGACAAACAGGTTGTCCGAAGGTGGTTTGAAGTCATGGAATATTTTAAGCATGCTAATGAATTGGCCCCATATATTAAAGACAAAGAACACCTAATAATGATAAAAGCTTATACTTCGTGCATTTCATTTCAAATGTTGGTTGGAACTAAGAGTGAATTTTTGGACCTGAATAGTTATTTCTATGATATGAAATTAATTAGAGAATTCAACTTGACTATCACTAACCTGTTGAACTCCGATGCGATTTTGGAGTACACTTGGCTCACAGTTTTGCAGAAAAAAATTTCTTTACTACAGAGTTCTGAAAGTACAACAAGCAAAGCTAATGACAATGAGAATTGTACTATGGCTGACTACCTTAAAGACTCACAAGTCTCCCTTACGAAGAGGCAACTGGAATTTAATCTATTTGAGGAATTGCAAAAGGTGCAAAAATACGTGTGTGGTGATCACCTTCTTGAAGAAATAGCAGGTTTAATTCTAGATAATGCTTTATCAGTGATCAAGATCAATCTGACGACATCTTATTATCTCAAGGAAATTCCGTATCAAGACCTTAAAGATGATCTATACGGTCTATATTGCAATGCCATTTTCAAGGATGCGCTGTCGATAGCAAGGGAGAAGTTCCCAATACTGATAGCGACATATGTGAACTTAAGTACCATTGGCTACAGCTTTTACTTAAGCACTATCAATTTGAATCTTTCTTTGGATTTTTCCTTGTATGATATCAAGGAGATGAAAACTTATGCCACAATTTTTGAAAGATCTATTTTTTCAAAGTTTTTTGAAGTCAATGACAAGGATTCCTCTGTGATATCTTTGAAAGACTCAATTGACGTACACCCTCCTTATGAGACTAATAAAGAACTTTCATTTCGATTCGAAAAAGGATCAAGGGCCACTCACTTCCCTTTAGCCACCGGTGATATGGTGGTGTTTGCCCACAAGTATAACGGCTGGGTTTTTCTTGGGAGGACACTCGAAAACTTAACGAATGACTTTGATAATTGGGACCAAGTTAAAGTTGAAGTTATATTAAGTATATTAGGAGCTATGAAGGTAAATATAGGAGGGCTCGAGACTTCACAAATTCCCGGATTAATCAGTTCGATGTCAAGAAATTTGAATGCCTCAGATATCTTGGATGTCTTATTCGACCTTTGGGAGAAAGCTTTGGTACGAAAAAACGTAGATATTTGCAAAACAATAGTTATGATATTTCTTCTCTATTCTCGTGCCTTTGACTTCGAAAGGATTTGGTCGTTTTTGTTAGAGTCTTCCTTACTCTCAGATGAAGTCCAAGAAGGATCTGCATTATCCATTTTGACGTTAATAGAGGGGAAACAGGGAGAGTATGAATTCACCTTCGATTTGCTATATTTTTTGGGAGATTTAATGAGTGGCAAAGAGCTTGGCACAAGGAGTAGGGTTGTCTCCAAAATTCTTAACTATTCTATTGCTGTCTATCAAAACTTGGATACTTTACACTTCAGTCATAATTATGGAAAAATGAATATGCTTTGGTGGATAGTTTGGGGATTCGATATATTCATAGATCTGAGTTACAAGTTGGTGGATGATACATCGACAGAATCTAGCATGATTGAAGATACTTATTTGTTGGGTTCAGAAATCATCGAAAAATATTTTTTAACAAGTAGTAAGAATTCAACGGACATAACTTCGCCAATTATGTCCTTACTTGATTCTTTCAACCAGAACGCTAAAGACTTAGATAACATTCCAGGTATCATGTCTATTCACAATATGTCTATAATTCTACTTTTCTATAGACGTTTGATATCGATAAGATCGTTGAAAGACATGGAACCGTCGGCATTGGAAAGAGCTTTCTTTGAAAAACTTCCCACCTTAGTTCTGTTGTATGCGAGAAGAGTGAGCTGTCGAATCGATATCTTGTATTTGCTTATATCCTTATTAAGTAGTAACTGGAAAGAAAATGAAAGGCCATCAATGTTGAACCACTTGGGTCCCTTCTATTCATTAGTTTTACTAAATTCATTAGCAAGTGATTTGGAAGATCCTTTTGTTTCTCATGAACAAAAAATAGCAATTTATACTTTTGTTTCTTCAGTGTTTGAAATAAAGAAGGACGACCTCGAAATCTTATTTGAAGGAAAGGGAAATTTAGAGAAACTTGTTGAATATCTGAGGTTTAAAAATAGTGTTTCTTTTCCTGATATATTAGAAAGACGGTTAGATGACATCAGAACCGATCCGTACCTGGTCAGTTTTTGCCTAATGGATGCCATATCACACTGTGCGGATTCATGGCTCAAGGTTAACGGGAAAGTCTTTGACTTAATGAAGAAAATCTTATTCGCATTAAACTATGTGGACTCAAAAGTTGAGGATGTAAACATTCTTTCTCGAATAAGATTAAGGGGTCAATTGTTACAGGTTTTGGCATTTTTCTTGACCAAAACTGAAAACTATTCTCATCAAAAAGCTATAGTCTACCTTTTGAAATCCGATGAAATACTTCCAAGATTGCAATGGGGCGTGGAGAGCCATGAAATAGTTGGAGATATCTACATGGATTCTTCAAAGAAAAGATTCTATCAAGATGAGAAGTTTCCTCCATTTTTGTATAAAAAGACGTATGACATTTTTGATGACAATAGTTATGAAAATGCCCGACTATACGAAACCAGAGCAACTGAGACACTATTGGCTATCTTGGATGAAAAATGAGAGGTCACTATTGATCCCAACCTTCTAAGCGCAGTATACTCTAATAATCGACAAAGATAACGCTCTCACCCCTCAAAAAAAAAAAAGGCAGCCTCATTTGCGCCTATTTCTACTCTTCATTCGATACAATAGAAGAAAGCTGAATAGTTTGAATATGTTGTGCTTTGGTAAGATCATTCATAATTAACCTAATTATTGACTGTTCTTATTGTAGGCATTTGGAAAGAACGGTCCCTACTTGCAACCATGGGTCAAATGATCCTAATTTCGGTTATTTTCAATTATTACAATGTCAACTTTTACAGTATTGGTTTTCATTTATATATCAATAAATAATCATTAATCTGGAATTGGCTGTCACAAAACAAGCCAAACGCAGAGATATGGATAGGATTCGGAAATGGGTTAACAGAAAAAGAATAAACTATCTAGATTTTATTCCCGTAAACATCATCACCAATGCATTCATCTTTGAGCACATACCGTACAAGTCATAAATAAATTTACAAAATGCAACTTACAAGCCATTAAGATTGAACAAATTAATCTAGCGCTATGCCACTTCCATACTTCGTCAATAGTCAACGCCTTTACGAGAATTCAATTTAGTATCCTTTTGTCAAAATTAGTCTTCCTAAAATTTCTTTGATTCTTGAAACTCCTCACTCAGTTTACCAATAACCGCTTCATAGGTTTAAAGTTACTATAGATTTCAATGCTACCATTATTCACGGCCATAAATACTGATTTACATAAGAGTAGTTCTTCCCCCTACTTCATTACTAGGCGTCCCATCAGGCATATTACCGTCTCTACCGGACACAAATTTGTTGTAGATTTTTTGGAGTTTTGTTTTTTCACTAACGGAAATTGATGGTTTCGTTTCCTTAAGGGAATCTAATAAATCTTTCTGCGAGATAAAGACTTTCAGCGATTCAGAATCTTTCGTGTCTGGCTTGTTATTGGTATCAGAAGAGGTAGTTTCTTCATTGAAAAGTTGTTCAATCTGCTGTAAAATCTTAACTCTATCAGCCGGTCTCAATTTAGCATTCTTTAATTTCTCTGAATTGACTTGGAAAAAGTCAAAGGATGTCTTGTCTTTCGAATTATGCTTTTCACCTTTAACTGCTTGAAGTTCATCATTCGAGAGTTTAACATGAACAGCTTTTAAATAAGCATTATATCCTAAACCTTGCATATCTGCACCACTGAATCCAGCCGTCTTCTCTGCAATTTGCGTCAAATTCACATCCCCCATTAAGTCCATTTTAGTCGTTATGCTTTCTAGAATATCCAATCTATCTTCAAAGCTTGGCATATCACAGATAACACTCTTATCCAATCTACCAGGTCTCAATAAAGCAGAGTCGATCAAATCAGGTCTACTTGTCGCAGCCAAAACGTAGACACCATCCAAACCTTCGGCACCATCCATTTGGGTCAACATTTGATTGACAACTCTATCAGTGACACCAGTAGAATCATGTCCCCTCTTTGGGGCAATGGAATCAAATTCATCGAAAAACAAGATACAGGGTTTTGCTGATTGTGCTCTTTCAAATAATTCTCTTACAGATTGTTCAGAAGCTCCGATATACTTGTTCAAAATTTCAGGACCCTTAATAGAAATAAAATTTAAACCACATTGACCAGCAATGGCACTAGCAAGCAATGTTTTACCACAACCAGGATAACCATACAACAATACACCAGATCTTAATCTTAACGGACAATTTGCAAAAATCGGCGCATATTTGGTTGGCCATTCCAACGTTTCGAGAAGAATATTTTTAGCATCTTTTAACCCACCAATATCAGACCAACTGATCGAAGACTTTTGCAACTTGACACCACGTAAATTAGATGGTGTATACCCCTTCAACGCTTTCTCAAAATGCTCCTTGGTTATTTTGAAATCACTTTTACTATCACTTTGTGCCTGGTTAAATAAAGATTCATGGTAGATTCTATCACACAAAATCTTTAAGTCATTTGGCAAATACCCTTCGGTTTCCGAAACCATATCCATGACATCAAATTGTATATCACAACCTAATTTGTCGGTAATGTAGCCATTGATAATATCCAATCTCGTATTTTTGTCTGGAGGACTTAAATGATGAAAATATTCGAGCAAATGGCATTGAAATAAGAGTTTATTTAAAGCTTCTTTTGACGTAGCTGAAACCAAAATCGAAAGATTACTGTTATGCTGCGAATAAATTTTTTGCAATCTTGTAATTAAAAATTCAGTTAGTTGATTTGAAACTGCAGAGTCAACATGTTCCATTTCTGCTGGCAAAATCTTATCTAAATTGTCCAAAATCAATAAAGATGGCTTATGCCATGAACATTCCTGAATCCATTTCATAACATGGTTATTGGACAACAGATTGAAGTTTTCATTCATTATTTTTTCACAAGAAACATATTTGGTATGATAACCATAATCAGAATTAATCTTGCTAGCGATTAACTTTAGCATCAATGTTTTACCACTCCCTGAATTGCCATATATTAATGTTCCTGAATTTTTATTAATTGTTATCGAGTCTAAGGCATCTTCAATCATCTTGTCTAAACCTATTACTTTATCCTTTTCATCGGGTTCATATTTAATTTCTTGAATGAATGATTGATTTCTTATCAATTCTTCTCCCATTTCTAATTTAATTTGTTTCTTCTCATCCGAAAACGCAAAGGGCTTAATCCAGGCATTGACATCATCATTCCTTTTAAATTTTAATAAACCACCATTTGGAAGTAAATACGGCACAATTGGAAGTTTTATATAATTTGTAATTGGAGAATTGTTAATTGGAGAATCCTCATTATAAAATAAAGTAGTTAATGCTTGCAATAATTTAATGTTTTTATCCTTCTTCTCATTGGAATTTAAATTGATCTGATCAGTCTTTTTAGTCTGGAGAACATAAGGATGTATGACAAAACTTGATGGCTTTCTAGAAATATGCTTGATGGATGGATTCAACACAACTATAGAACCGACTTGATTCTCTACGTTCAAAGCAACAGCCAATTTGGCCGAAAGTCCCACAGTATTTGATGGACATTTTGGGCAATTAACAAGCTTAGCAATCACTCGCTTAGTTTCTTTCAATGGTTGTGAAATCTTGTCCTTTGAATTTTCTTTCGCAAGGTTTTGGTTTTGGTTCTGGTTTTGCTCCTCGTTTTGATTACCACTACCAACAATATTCTGTTTAGAATTAGGACCGGGAACAATGGAAACCGCACCGTATTCAGCCTTATTTAAAGAATGTATTACCTCGTTGAAATTGACATAAATCTCGTATCCATCAGGATTAGAATGTGATGGTAGATCTGAGAATATATCATGTGGCAAGGATATACCTCTTTTCAAGACAGATGGTAAATTTGAATAATCTTCGGCTCTGTTGCTCTTAGAAGATTTTGTAGATTTGCCTGAAGTCGATTCTGACTTCTTGACTCTTACCTTAGGAGCAATTGCAACTTCACACATTGGCGATATCTTGGCATAATTATGATCTTTCGTTCCAATGTCCGTGACTATTAACTTTGCAGATGTAGTCTGTGAAGGATACACTACCAATACCTGATTCAATGAAACACACCGAGATTGCGATAATAACTTATCTTCCAAGATTTGTGCATGTAGTTCAACAAGCTCCCAGTCCGAGGAAGTGACGGGTTCCAAGTTAATTTGAGTGGTTTCAAAATTGTTCAATTTCAAATTCAACGTAATCTGATATTTATCACTTAAATTCAACGATTGGGCAAATATGGGATCAATTTCCAATGTCCTAATTTTCGATGACGACATACCAGACCATCCAGTATAGCTTTTGGCTCCTGATGACAGAATTAATTCTATTATGACATCTTGAATATTGACATTTGCATTGAATAATAAATTACTCAAATTAGAAGGCAAATTAATCAAATTCGACCTTAAAGGTTTGTATGTTATCTGAACCTTGTGATTATCCATGACAAAGTTATATAGGCTTTAGAAGCTATTCAAAATGGTTGAATAATTTAATGCTTAAATAGTATGTTCTCCAGATTTTCGAGATGTGATTCTTTACCCACTCAGTATGTGGGGCCGAGGATATATTCGAGCATTTGGAGAATACGATAAACATTTTAAAATTTGGATATATTACTTATTAATACTATGTTATATAACTACAGAGTCATCATGTTATGCTAATGCAACTAAATAGTTCGAAAGGTTCTTTGAATGTCAAAAATAACGTTCTTTCAAGGTCCTAAATGTTGATAAAACCTAAGAGTATATATATTCAGAACGAGAAGTAACATGCAATGAATACATACATGAGATCATTTGTTACGGCCTTGAACGTCGTTAAATTTCTTCATCACTTCGTCATCTTCCTGTTGCTTTTCTTCCCATTTCTTCTCATTCTTCTTTTGATTAGCTTCTTTCGCTTTTTCCATAGCTTGGAACGACTTTCTTCTGATAGAATGGCATTGCTCCCATCCAACTACGTTACCCAAAAAGAATCCACAGACAGCCCAGTTCATGGATTTATTTGGGTTCTTATGGATCAAGAAGGTTACAGTACCTAATACACCCATCGCTTGAAAACCGGTTATCATTGCTTCTCTGAAACATGGCATGCTGACGAAATGCGACATAGAGAAATCAGATAGCTTAAACTCTTTGAGAGCATCTGAATAGGCAGGCGGTTTCTGACCACTTCCATTATCTTCAAATTTTGGAGGTAAATCCTCTAGAAATTGTTGAGGTTGGGGTTGAGCCTGAGGTTCTTCAACAGTTTGACTGACAGAAGATATCTTCGACGATGAGCTACTTCCAAACCAACCCATATTAAAGTATTTTTTTCACGTATGCAACGCTGTGTTATATGCTTAAGATAGAGAAGTCTATTCATTTATTGTTCTAGTGGATTTTATCCCAGCTATTCACGTGATCTTTCAATTCTATCTAGAGCTAGGGGAATTTCAGATCCCAAGGCGTTGATTTTGTCTTGAAACGTTGAAATTACGAGCTAGCATAGGAGCAAACATCTCTGAACCTTCAAGTTGTTTGTAAACTAGTAATGGTGTGATATAGTACCAAGTTGTTGGTGTGAATTTAAAAAAAAACCAATAGCGTCGCCCGGTTTCGATCCGGGGACATCAGGGTTATGAGCCCTGCGCGCTTCCACTGCGCCACGACGCTATTTATTTATGTTACAAAACCTCCTAAATTAATATGTACTAAGAAATTCATATTGAACCATCTGAAACGTGCAGATATACCACAAGCATACTGGGCCGATATTTTATAATAATGTGCTTGGTAAATGTAGTTTAGAATTACTAGGTCTGAGGTAGAATATCAGGTGATGTTAGAAGAAATTCTGTTCTGGTTCCCGTCAACTCACGAAAGTCTACCAAGTTACCTATACACAGACCTGTAAATATATGGTATTAATGTTTCATATAATAGAGACTATTATCGGTAATATTAAATCATAGAGACTTTCAGTTAGTATTATACTGTATTATGTACTCGATTTGCAGTAAAACCAAACTGAAAAATTACGATCAACATTTTGAGTGCGAATATGAAAGTGAATGAATATCAAGTGTTTTTCATACTTACTTAATTCAATAGGTACAAATTGCAATGATATCCCCAGATCTTATTTTAGACCCGCAATTGAAGTACTGGGTTTTATTACCCATTTCATTTGTTATGGTCTTGGTAGGTTTATTAAGATCGAACATTACATTATTGCTTACACCATCACCGAAATTGACGCCATACAAAACAGCAAGGGAGAAGTATGTATAAGAGCAAAAAGGGACGGAAAGTTAAGAGTTAACTACAATTAAGCTGCAGTATACTAACGGAATGCATTTAGACAATTTTTGAACAGGGCCGTTTGTTTTAGAAAAAATAATGGTATTTTAGCTCCTAGTGACTTTGAAACTAGACAACAATACTATATTGAAAAATTGAATTCATCCGACTTTTATGCTGAAAAAGTGGATCCAGATGCTACTCCATCAAACCCATTCACCGATCCTTCTACAAACGACGCCATGATGAACATGGTGAAAGGGAATTTAATGAATTATATTCCACAAACATTGATTATGGGATGGGTCAATTATTTCTTCGCTGGTTTTGTTGTCATGAAACTTCCATTCCCTCTCACTGACGGGTTTAAAAGTATGTTACAGAGTGGGGTTGCTACACCTTCTTTAAATGTTCGTTATGTTTCATCTATTTCCTGGTATTTTGTCAATTTGCTCGGATTGAAACCAGTCTACTCTTTGCTTATGGGAGATTCCAAAATAGTTGACCAAATGATGCAGCAGCAGCAGCAACAACAAATGCCAAATATAGGTGGGCCAGGCGCTCCAAAAGTAGATAAAGTTTTCAAGGCTGAAGCAGAGAATATTCAAATTTTATCTCATGAATCCATATTTGATGGAATTGTCGATAGGGTTTTAAACCAATCCGATTAATACTATCATGCATCACAAGACTAGTTATATAACTCCTTAATTAATAAGATAAGACGTTAAATAGGTTTCTTAACATAGCTTTAAAGGGTCAAAATGATCACGTGTATTTTAGATTTATAATCCATCGCTATACACTTGAAGACATAAAAACTTTTGATATATTACCCATATAGATAATAATATATAACAATAATGGCACCTTCTACTGTGATATGTATTGGTATGGCCGGTTCCGGTAAGACCACGTTTATGCAAAGGTTGAATTCACATCTTCACACCAAAAAGTCGCCACCATATGTCATTAATTTGGATCCAGCTGTTCTTAAGGTTCCATTTGGGGCAAATATTGACATTAGGGATTCGGTTAAGTATAAGAAAGTAATGGAAGAATATAATTTAGGTCCTAATGGGGCGATTGTTACTTCGTTGAATTTATTTGCTACCAAAATTGATCAAGTTATTAAGTTAGTGGAAAAGAGATCAGACAAAGTGGAGAATGTTATTATCGATACTCCAGGACAAATTGAATGTTTTATTTGGTCTGCTAGTGGTGCAATCATAACAGAGGCATTTGCATCCACGTTTCCAACTGTTATTGCCTATATTGTAGATACACCAAGAAATTCATCCCCTACTACATTTATGTCAAACATGTTGTATGCATGTTCTATTTTGTATAAAACAAAGTTGCCAATGATTATAGTCTTCAATAAGAGTGATGTAAAGAATGCCGATTTTGCGAAGGAATGGATGCAAGATTTTGAAACTTTCCAAAGAGCATTATCTGAGGATCAGGAATTGAATGGTGAAGATGGAACCTCTTCTGGTTATATGAGTTCCTTGGTAAATTCGATGTCCTTAATGTTAGAAGAGTTTTATTCCCAATTGGATGTTGTTGGTGTAAGTTCATACACAGGTGAAGGATTTGACGAGTTTTTAGGTGCCGTTGATAATAAAGTTGACGAATATAACGAATATTACAAAGCCGAAAGAGAAAGAATATTGAAAGAAAAGGAAGAAAAGGAGAATAAAAGACAGTCAAGTTCCTTGAATAAATTAATGAAAGACTTGGATATTAAGGATAAAAATCAAGAAGGTAAGGATTCTGAAGTTTTATCTGATTATGAATCAGAAGACGATGAATATCAAGGGGAATTACCTAGAGATGAAGATGAAGTCGAAAGGGAATACACATTCCCTGAAGATAGGAATTCGGAAGTCAGCGACAAGACAGATACTGACTTGCAAGCGCGTTATCAAGCTGCGTTTGATGCCACTGCTAAGAATGCCTCTTCTAAGACTGCAGAATCAATCGCTGAATATATTAAGCGTTAATTCAATTATCTAATAATAGACTGTATAATAAACCGTGATATAAAATATGTATCTATAGGAGAGAATCTAGTATTTGTAGTGTCATCCATTTAATCAACCAACGACGACAAAGCATTATTAATATCATATGCTTTATTTGCAAACTCTTTCTTAAATATTAGATGTGGTTTATGCTTTGCTAAATACATAATTGTCTTTCCAAACTCTGAATTGCACCATGCAAACCAGGATCTTGTAAATTCTTTGCCCTTCTTTGAATTAACTTGAACACTTTCGTGCATCAATCCTAATTCAGCAGTATTTTCCATAATAAGTTGTAAGTTGTTCAAGATTTCTGTATCATCATCCGTTGTTCTAATACTTACTAACAAAGACATTGGCCATGCATTGTGTATACCAATATGAGGACCTCCAATTCCTTCGAATTGAGTTCCCGTCAAGTAATATGGATTGCCAACTTTAGATAATATCATTTTTCTGGTATTCTGATAAACTTCGTCATTGACATCAATGAAACCCATGTCTGGCAAGGATAGCAACGATGGAATATTTGCATCATCCATGTGAATGGCTCCTCCATACCCATCAACTTCATATGCATAAACCTTGCCCCACACAGGGTGCTCAACAATTCCATATTTGGCAATACCTTCAGATATGTTTTCTATGAAAGCATCTGTATGACTAATTAGTGGCAACAAGTCTCTGTCTGGTTTGTTCTCTGATGCTAAGAAATTTTTTCTAACTTTTTTTAATTCTGTTAACATATGAGAATTTGCAGGGATGAAGAATTGCAAAATACAAGCATCATCGGAGGGACGAAATGCGGACCTAATCAAACCTGTAGCATAGTTAACTGGATTACCAACACCTCCCAACGGAAGAGTTTCCGAACCAATTTGGGTTTGTCTTTGAAAGGAATAATAGAAGCTTAGAGCCTGACCTGTTTCTTTATCAAATGATGGTTGTGATTCCCTTTTTAAAACGATAAGTATTCTTTCGTAAGCTTTCAACCAACGGTCATTGAGGAAAGATAAATCTCCTCCAGAGTTTTCATAATATTCATTTGTCAAAGTCAAGAATGAGGCTAATGAATCCAATTCATATTTACACTCGAATACTTGTCTCCAATCAGGTCTTGGGAATACTTGATCTACTGCAGTAGTACCTCTTTTAACACCAGATCCAGGAGGAGGGTGAAATGCATTGCAATAAGGAGAATTAATAATATAGAATGCCTGTGTATTGATTGCACCTTTTATTAATTCTTTTAATTGCTTATCGTATTTTATTAATGGCTGGTATACCGATAATTGTCTAGCAGCATCACGCAACCATTCAGCATGAATATCTCCAGTAACAACAAATGAGTGTGGTTCTTCCACTTGCTTGGACTCTAATGAAGATATATGCCATAATATCGTTGTATCCAAAGTGTTGGGCAAACAATTTTCTATTAAACGAGCAAGATCTCTACTTTCGACCTTATTTTTCAAATCATTTATCACTTGTTCTACTGCTTCTGACCTGAATGTCCGACATTTTGGTGCTGGTCTCATGTAAGGGTATTTATACTTGCCATTGGAAAAAGGTGGATGTTTGAATTGTGAATATTCAACATAGTCTGGACATTTGTGAGTTTTTTTATCCATTTTTTTCAAGAATTCTTCAGTTACATCTCCAATTTCCTTTATATCAACGCTATTTTCAGAATATTTCAACTCTTCTTTTAACTGACTCTTATCTTTGGTAAATTGGACAAAATCCCCGATGTCTGTAACTTCTGAACTTACATGACTATCTGTATTGGATGGTAGATTCTTTAAAATATATAAACCAAATAATACACCTAATATAAGTAATACCAATCGACCAGGCCTAATACGTTTATCAGAAATGTAGATTGCCATATTACCGTAATATTTGTGTTGTGCAATACAATCCCTGAAAAGATGATTTTGGTGTCAAGAAATGCAACCCGCGAGAACTCACGATCTATTTTCGATCTAAATTATGATTAATGTCTATTAAGATTGATTAACACTAATGTTTATGAAATAAATATATACAATTTTTGGCAAATCCTTCCTCTACTCTGATTAAGCCAGACTCGCCCAACCTTTTCATTAATGTGTCTATACTGGATAATTCACTCTTCTTCTTTCCAGCCCCATTGTGTTTCGATTTTGCAATTTCTAATAATTCGTCGTATGATTCTGAGGTGGATATAGTATCACTAGAATGAATATTGTGGGAGAAGAAATCATTGATAGTTTGATTATTTAATCCCATCCTAACAGAAATAATTTCAAATGAATCCTTATATGTGTCTAGGATGTTGAGAAGTTCCGAATGATCTTCTTGCATTATAGGATTTTCAATTGTGAGTAAATGATAGTCATGATATTTTATGTCGTAAGGGAACGCCTCTCTTACGTTTGTGTATTCAAGCTCCTTCAAAACTTTATGCAAGGGAAACTTACTAATAATTTCATGGGGTGACACATTCACTGTATTAAACGATTGATCAGTCAATTCTACTGATTTGTTAGTTAACAATGCTTCACTGAGCTTATCATGAACATTATTCTGAGTTTTCCAATCAGCTGTAGCAAATAAACTATCAAAATCCTTGTCGGATTGAAAATGACGTTGTGATTTATTGGCCAAAGAAAATAAATCAACAGTCGACAAGTCTGTGAAATGGTAATTACGAATATTCTTATCACTCTCATCGGCGAAATTATTCTGTAACAGCGATACAGCTCTTTTGAAATCATTTAACGGTTTGTTCACTTGAGAAAGAGACGATTCCGAGAAAAGACGATTAGTTTGCCTTAAAACAAAAATTATGGGCGTATTGTTAAGTAGTCTTTGATACCATTGGAAAGAGTTTTTGATCAGATTGACGTTAGGTACTGAACGGTACGGACGGAAATATGCTGCAAAAGAGCTTGCTATTTGTGCCTGGTAATCAGAAAAATTCTTTGTAGTCCTGCTAGCTGAGCTTATTATAGGCGTGAAATCTGATATATTATCATCTGTTTCTCTAGCGACCTTTTTATCCTGGTGCTGTTTGAAAATATCTTCGGTCCGCATATTCTCCAATCCCCCCAATTCAAGCGGGCCTTCAAATATAGGTTTAATTAGCGTACTGATTATAGGAGGAAAGTCATTAGGATTGAATTTACCTATTCCGGAGTTATCTGTTAACAACTTATTTCTTTGAAAATTGTAATATTCTGGTGTAGTCCTCTGCAAATAATTTTTAATTCGGGCATTCTTATAAGGTAATGCATTATTGGATGCTCTTTCATATATTTTGAAAATATGCAAGATATGATCTGGAAGCCTTGATAGAGTATAGTTTGACATAACAGAAGTACATTACATAAGGCTTTGGACCATATTTATCATTTCATCATCTACCAGAAGATCTATTTCCCAAGTCATCTAGGATTTGCTCACGTGAATTTTTATATTTTATATAGTACTATCAAGTGAAATATTCATCTATGTCAGTTTTCTTTTATAATTATTGCACTATAGATTGTTAGAATGTCTGATGATGAGTTTATAGATACGGGGTTATTTGCTGAACCCGAAGGATTTACTCCACCACCGCCAGCGCCACATTTTGCTAAGTATCAAAGAAAGAATAAAACTGATCCCGCAGAGCTCAATTTAAGGCTTGTTGGTAAGTCGCCATTATGGGGCCATTTACTTTGGAATGCAGGTATATTTACAGCTGATTATCTCGATGAGCATGCCGACGAATTGGTTACCGGAAAAGATGTTTTAGAGTTAGGAGCAGCAGCTGGGTTGCCTTCATTGATTTGCGGAATTAACAAATGTAATCGAGTAGTCTGTACTGATTATCCAGATCCCGATTTGATTTCAAATATCCAGCATAACTTTGACCATTGTCAGGGACTTGACTTATCGAAGACTGTGGTAAAAGGATTTATATGGGGAGCTGATGCTAAACCATTAATGAAGGACAGCGAAAAGGAAATACAAGAGGAAGACAAGTTTGATTTGGTGATTTTGTCAGACTTAGTGTTCAATCACACCGAACACTTGAAATTGTTGAAAACTTGTAGAGATACAATAAAGCAGGATGGGAAGTGCTTGGTGGTATTTTCTCCCCACAGACCAAAGTTATTGGAAAATGACTTAGAATTTTTCAAGACATGTGAAGACTTCCAGTTCAAGGCCGAAAAAATTGACTTAGTTACCTGGAAGCCTATGTTTGAAGAAGATGACGAAACCATCGACATTAGAGCCAGGGTCTATTCTTTCTTCTTGGTGCCACAATGGTAACTTTTACCCGTACATAGAATGCATGCAATATACAACAGACGTTTTTTTGATTAACTACTCTACATGTGCTACAACTCTTTATACATAATGACATAGTATTAACCTATGAACAATAAGAATATGATTCTAGATTCAAAGAATAAAACCCATATTATAAACTAATAAACATAATTATTGTATTAATAAAATCATAATTGCAAACCAACAATAAACGGAGTCAATAAAACTGTACGCTTATTGAGAAGTTGGGGATGGATTCATCTTTCTCTTACCGTTAGTCAAAGTAACGTTAACGAATCTTCTAGTGTATAATAAACGCTTGTAAGCTCTACCCTTTGGCTTCTTTGGCTTTTCTTGAGCGTCAACTTTTGGAGTTTGAGACTTAACTTTACCAGCACGAGCTAAAGAACCGTGAACTTTACCCTATATTATGTTAGTATTATGTTCTCAACTTTTGAAATTGCTATTGATGAGACGGTCCCGATCCTCATTCTTCCACGATGTCATCTTTTCTATGGTTTAATCATTCTTCCATTGCCATCATTCATTCCTACGTCACTTCATCATCTCGTTATCGACTTTTTTCCTTATGCTGTTCTTTTTATCATTTTGAAGTATATTTCACCCTGTGGCGACTGTTTTCCGTCCATGTATTTATATTCATTCTCCTCGACTCAAATGTCCTCGTATCACTTCCATTTCGGATGTATCCGTCTCAAATCGTTCAGCAATCATTTATCTACTCTACTGAGCTCATTTCACATACCATTTTGTATTAATTTATTTATGTATTAGGTGTATAGTAAAGAATCAACTTTTACTAATAATATAGAAATTTGCTCCCCGTCCGCCATAGTGGCGATGGAGAGATTTTTTTTCGTGAAAAAACCACAAATTGGTAAACACACACAAACCCTTTTTCGAGGGACATAAATCATGTGCAACGAATAGTTATATAGGTGTGGAACCCTACGAGCGAAACGATATTAATATATGGCAGTTTGGGTTACCTTAAAAGCTGGTCAGCGTAAAAATGTGTAGTGCATATTTGTGCAGATTCAATAACTATAAATGTTCTTTAGATAATTAGAGGAGGTGAATTAAACGAGGCCCAGCGATGGGTACTAAATATCGCGTACTATACAAATGACTTTATAACCATTACAAAAGTCGATATTACCACTGCAAGAAGAAGTGATATCAATATTAGGATCGATAATCTTGTAGCCGGGTAGTAGTTCTTCACTAGCATGTGCTGGACTTTGAAGTAGCGAATCACTCCGAAGAGCAATGTTAGTATACCCAAAATTATGAAAAGACATCCTAATGGCCTGCCATAATCGGTGATTACGTGACTGTTGTCGTCTAGCTCGACGAAAAAACGGTTAATCAGAACCTTGGACGATTTATCCTCCAATCTGAACAATTGGGTGATGCCAATACCGATCGTGATGAACGATAGCGAAGTTCGGAGCCACGCTAAGAAGGTTCTTTCGTTAGCCATCTAAATTGTTAGTACTTTATATGGACTTTGTAGGGGCATGGATATACGTACATGGTCTCTGGCCACGGATCCCTTATTCTCGAGGGATATAGAGGCGAATTGGATCGAATTGATTCTGTCCTTGAATGTTGTATTCTTGTGCACATTGCCAGACCCATTGGTATCGGAACTGGCAGTGCTCTGAGACCCATAGCGAAGAAGCGGATCTCGGGAATTATCTATACGTTGTCTTGAAGTCATTGGTAGTTTCTACCGATAAAAAGCTATCCTTTCTGTTGAACAGTTCGATAGGTATAGGTTGCCACAGTTTAGATCCGATAGATATATACACGTGACTTCGGGTTATGACGCTTAGAGATATGGTCTGTAGTAATATATGGTCTTGTGGACGGCTGTGGTTCTACTAAGGCATACGGCTGGCGATACCAGCTTGGATAGTTATGCCAGAAACTGCAAACACAAATCTCTGGTTCTGGTTCTGGTCCATTTGCCTATAATCTAATGAATAATGAATAAGATATATTGATGCGAAAAGTCTATAACGAAATGTAAATGTATGTAAACGTATGAAATGTAGTTTGAGCATATACAACAAATGTGCTATACCATGATAATGACTAACTGGAGGGAAACGAAATTAAATTACCCGATGAAGGAATAAATCATCGAGTCACAAATAAACGAATGCCAGAATTAAAATACAAGCATGACGTACAAACCAAACGCGGAAAGTAGCCCTATCAATATTGAGCTTTGGAGTCCCATACCTCTATCAGAAGCAGACAACGTAGTTTTGAATGAGAATGCTCCTGAGGAGATAGTGCTTTGGGTATAAGATCTAACCTTGCCAACTGTACCACTAAGTGACCCCATTCCAATTGTACCAGCAGGCACAGATGTAGTATCCGAATTACCGTAGGTATGTCTAAATGATGGACTGAAAATGGCTTGAGTGGTCACTGTAACCCCTTCGGAATTAGTACCTGTACGCCAAACAGTTGTTTGTTCAGTTGTGGTTGATGATGATTTAGCAGCTATAGCTGTAATGAATGCTAAGATGAAGAATATGAATCTCATTGTATCTGTGTCGAGGTCCTAGTGAATAGTATGTGTAATAGAAATGTTTTCCAAAAATATGAATGAAGACCACTAAATATATGAACGACTATGTAACCACAGTATAGATGTATAGACTAACGGTTGGAAAAAGATAGAAGTAAAATTCTGCAAAAATAAATCAGTATAAATCAGTATACGCAACTAGCAGATCAGACAAAAATAGGGAAATGTGATTTTATAAGTATTACTAGGCCAGCCGATAAGGAATTAAAATTTTATTAAAATTTCTACGGAAAATCTGTCAAGCACAGTTCCTTCGTGCATATTGAACAATAAATTAGTCCTACGGTAAACAATTAATGCATTTAAACGCAATTTTGCCTTGCATAATTTTGGAATGCTCTGCGCTTTGAGAACTTAAGGTTAACTTCTGTACGTGGTGGAATATCTTTGTACACGAAATAGAACAAGCCACTTCTGAATCGCTGACAAATTGTTCGCAATTGTTTCCATGGCATCGCATAATCCTACACAAACAAATTCGTGAAGTACAGTCGTAAACACGGATCAGTCATACTTTTCTGGCTAACCTAAGAATAGCCTTGATATCAAAATATAAATAGTATATTATTAATAAAAATGGCATCATCTCGTCAACACTCCTTACGTCGACCTAAGCCAATTTTTTATTTAGTATGCTCGCCAATAAGTGTAACTACATCGATACATAAATTATAAATATTGAGTTTATAAATAGCTATCGTCATTCATATTTTACCTTATTCATTTGGCTCTGTGGGCTTATTACCGGCGCTTATTACCGGCGCGACTCATCTCTTGGCTAATAATGCAAAAGCTTTCCTTCGTAGAAAATGCTCGAAGCCCAAATTGGCTTATCAATTTTGTGCCCGAGGCTATGGTGCATCGGTTAATGATTCAGGGTGAAGTCATCGGTCCGAACAACATAACAAAAACGTCGGTGATTGAAATAGCATAGTTACAAACAAAAGCGCAATAGTAGACGCGATTATAACGAGGCTGTTTCTTTATGGATATTTCTTTCCCAAAACGACTTCGTTAAATCAAAGCGTAGTTAATCAAGCTTAGATGAAGTCTGGGAACATATGATTGCGCACGATGCGATATAACCACCAGGTATTCACCATTTGACACGATCTATCAGATCACTTTTATTCGCCAATACAAATCACTATATGAAATAGTCCACCGGTGGCTTTTTAGATGGAATAGCAGTTACATCTTGAGACGCAGCCTTGAATACTTTGTAATCACGATTTAGATTGTCGTCTATAGTTAGAACCAGGGCAATGTTACCACATCTATAGCAATAGTTAGGAGCAGACCACACAGTGACCAAGCCTTGGTTGAACATTTCCTTATATCCCTCCATTACCAATTGGTGTGCTCTGGCAATGAGAGAGATATCGTTCACCTGCAAGAACTTATTGACCTCATTCTCACCAAAAAGGAAACCTGCTCCTCGTGGTGATATTGCCCATCCAGGAACATATTCTGGATCCGACCACAATAAATCACACATGCCCCCCTCATGAGGTACCTCTTGTTTTCTATCGAGTACCCTTATCTGGTCAATTGTATCTATATCAGGACTCAACCCACCGTGGATACTAAATACACCTCCTTTGCCTCCTACGATTGCTCCTAGAGAGAGATAATCAAACACTTCGCAACAGTATCGCCACACATTCACAGAACCATACTTGCGAACACATTCATCATAGAATCCATACACGGTGGTTATCTGTCTCGATTCGTGGTTCCCTCGAATCAACGTTATCTTATCGGGATATCTCACTTTCAATGCCAATAATAATAAAAAACTCTCTAACGAATAGAACCCTCTATCTACAAAATCTCCCAAGAACAAGTACTGCGTCTGCGGGCATTCTCCACCAGTCTTGAATAACGTAATTAAATCATGCAACTGCCCATGTATATCCCCGCATATAGTTACCGGTGTGTCAACATGCTGAATATTAGCCTCTTCGATTAATAACTCAATAGCCTTGGAGCAGATTTCTTCAACATCTGACTCTGGTATATGTTTGCATAATTTGATCGCCTCGATAGTCCTTTTTCGTGTTAGTCTACATGCTAACTCATTAGTGCATCATACAATATACTTACTCATCTAGGTTCAACATTACTTAAGCATGAAGATCTATATTGATGATTTTACTCTATTAATTACATGAGCTTCGATATCGTCGTACGCGTAAAGAAAACACCTACATTATATACAGTATGAAATAACATATATTTTATAACCTTTAAAACTAAATAATACACTAATAGAATGATATGGATTAATTTCGTCTGGTTGGTAAGGTATACTTCATAAACGATTTCTGTAATTGTCTACGAACAGTAATCTTTTGAGTTCCAACAAAACTATCGATACTGACTTTAATTGCCCTGTTCAAATCACTTTGACTCACGAAATCAGACAATCTCATCTTAGCAAAGGATTCGGCAATACGTAATATACTTTCCAAGTGACGAACAGTGATAGGAAATGAACCAGTTGAAATGGATTCTCTTCTTAAGTCTGCATAGACCCTAGAGACTTTATCCATGTCCATTTGATGCAATTTAGGATGAATCTTTATACGAGCGTAGTTCAAGTACTTAACCAAAAGGTCCTGAGAAATGGGGGAGATTTCACTTTCTCTTTCCTTGTTCAATTGGTTAATCTTTTGCTTTCTAGTTTGTTTTCTATTGCTTGGTCTTGTGGGGGTGTTTTCTGGTTGCTCGTCATCCATGGCTTCGTCATCGTCTTGGTTTAAATCATCGTCGTCATCTTCTAGGTCTTCCGCATGTGATGGATGAGATCTCATATGTGAATCAACAACGAAGTTTGCTAATCTTTCGTCCAGTTCAGGATTGACCAAATCCCTTACAACACATAAAATATCAAATCTCGATAAGATGGGTTCGGTTAAATCCACGTTTTGTGAAAGTGGCAATGTTGAATTATATCTACCACCATTAGGATTGGCAGCTGCGATAATTGCACACCTAGCTTGTAATGTGGTAACGATACCAGCCTTAGAAATAGAAATGGATTGTTGTTCCATAGCTTCGTGAATAGAGGTTCTATCTTGATCATTCATCTTATCAAATTCATCAATAAGACATGTACCTTTATCTGCAAGAACCAACGCACCACCCTCCAAAGTCCATTCTCTTGTAATTGGATCCTTACGAACCGATGCTGTCAACCCAACAGCAGAAGCACCTTGACCTGTTGCAAAAACAGCTCTATTTGCAGTCTTTTCCGCATACTTCAAGATTTGCGATTTGGCTGTACCAGGATCACCTAGTAATAACACGTTTATATCACCTCTAATAGAATGTTTACCATTGACGTCTTTTGGAACACCCCCAAATAATGAGCACGCTAAAGCTGTTTTAATATCCTTATGCCCATATATAGAAGGAGCCATAGACGCTATTATTTTGTCAATAATACCGCGCTCTTGTGATAACTTTCTGAATTCTCTTTCATCCTCTTCAGTCCACGAATTTATTACCCCATCACCAGATACACTGCTTTCCTTTCTTCTGATCGAGTTGGCCTCAATCACCGTAGCAAACACAGGGAAACCATTCTTAGCATTCAACTGGCCATCATAATTATTCTTGTAAATACCGGTTACTTCTATATCTTCACCTGGCTTAGCACCATCGACAAGATCCCATAACAAGACAATTTCTCTGTGTCTTGGTAATCTACCAGCTGGAACAGTACCAGGTGCTTCTTGTAAGGTAATTCTTTGGTAATTACGGTATAATGTTTTCTCGGAATTAATTCTGAACGGACCCTTAACGTGACAATTAGTACAGAATGAAATTTTAACTTCTGTGTTTGAATCTTGAATGAAAGGTCCCAATACAACACCACATTTGAGACAGTCAAACTTCACGTATTTTAACTGTGGAAAGACACCTGTTCTTCTAGTAACAACACCACTTATTTTCACCAAGTTATTAAGGTTACTTTCCCTAAGATCTCTTAAATTTAAGTGGTTTGGGAAGTTGGAAATTCTGACGTGAATTTCTTGATGAATTTGTGAATAGTTAGGATAATGTAATTCGGTAGCTTCCATAGCAACGATATCAAAGATTTTCAACATTTCGGTTGGTGACGTAGCCAAAAATAACGCCAATATGGCCTTCGAATCCGCTAAATGGTCATAAGACACCTCCAATGATTCAGCATTGACTTCACCTAGAGTACGAATTCTAGCACCATACACCGATCTACCTTTATCGTCGGTATATTCCAACAAAAATGACTTCAATTCTCTTGCAATAGATCTGGAAACAGCCGGCTGGACAATCCATTCGGTTATACTAGGGGCCTTGATATCGGTCAAGCTTTCAAGCGACAACTCTTCATTAAACGGATCGATCTCTACATCCCCCATAAATTCATCCGCGTCTTCATCGTACTGTCTTCTTCTTCTTCTTTGAATCGGTAACCCATACTCATCGATATCGTCTATATTATCCTCATCACCTTCATCTTCCAAAAATGCCTGACGCCTTGATCTATTACCCATCGCATCTCCCAATAATGCATCACGCTTATTCAATTGACTGTCAATTCTTCTTCTGGTGGCTGCATCCATCTCGTCGTATTCCTCATCATCAATATTTCCATCTCCTAAATCGTACGTATCCTGCTTTTCGTTTCTCTTATAATCATTTTCCATATTATCCATCAAATCTTCCCCATCCTCTTCTTCTGATGCATTCAAGTCTGCAACATCATTATGAATTTCATCCTCTTCGTCCCCCTCTTCGAATGGAATAGCTGGCGACGATGGAGGTAATTGTGGACTTTCACCTATTGGTGGTGAAGAAGGATGTGACATCACTTCATCTTCATCTGCCTGTCTCTTTCTCGAATTACCTGTAGGACTAGACATTTTTATTTGTATATAAACCTATTAATTAACAATTGGTTAGAAAGAAAAGACTTCAAGGCCGACTTCTTTACCAGATTATGTTTAGAAAACGTTTTTTTTTGACGCGTTTAATTAAATACATTATTGCCGTTTTGGGATAAATTGTTGGTGTCTGGGTTTTTCGGGTGTAACCTGATTTTCGATCGCACAAAGCCAATGTAGGCTACAGAGTATTATAGAGTATTATAGAGTAGTAAAGGATCATCTAAAGAAAAAATAGAAATTGGGAACTGAGAAACTGTTTCATTTCAATTGGTAGAAAACAAATATGTATAATAGTTAAACATTCGTGGTAAAGATTTTATACCCGGTGTGTAGCATTGCTAAAGAATTGACTTTTTCTCCAGAGACGTAATTGTAGGAGATTCTTGGAGGCGGTAGCTATATGAGCAGGTAATAGTATTGAGACTTGATAACTAATTAATTATTTGGTGAACTTGATAGTTGGCAATAAATAATGATAATTTAGTATGTGTAAAGTAATCAGTTTGCGTAATATTGAAATTTTGATATTCATACAGATTTTCTGCAAAATACTTAAGTCCCAAAAAGAATTTATACTACGACCAGATGGAATTATAGCCCTTCACGGACCCCCTTACACCTATATCGTCACAAGAATGCTATTTCGGCAGTGGGAAACGTATAGTTGGGTGCAAAATCATAATAATCAATCAAATAATCACGTGACCAGATGAGGCTATTAGGAAATCTACTTAGACGTGAATCGCTATGGGGGATATGAGAGATTAGATATAACTAACCAGCCACATGAGTCCCAAACGAGAAGAAGAGGAGTCAGATTCATTGACAGCGGTGGACTACATCAAGACTCGTGATAAATTGGAGAAAGAGGCTAGAGAATTAATGCCATTCGACCCCAGTGAATGCACGTATGGTAAAGGTGAACTAAGACAGCCAATTTTTGCTTGTATTACGTGTTCCGATAAAAATAATGAGGAAATCGGAGTCTGTTACTCGTGTTCCATTCAGTGTCATTCGTCACATGAACTCGTAGAGCTATTCACCAAACGGAATTTTGTCTGTGACTGTGGTACAACCAAGATGTCAAAAACGATTGATGGCGGATGCAAATTGAGAATGAAAAGAGAAGAGAACGAGCGCAGACCATCGATACCAAAAACAGGATACTCGGGTACCGCCCCATCCAAAAGTCATGATATAAAAATGCCGGCAGAGGATATACCATCACTGTCAAATATGTATAACCAGAATTTTCATGGATTATTCTGTTCGTGTGAGAAACCATACAATCCTCTTGAAGAAACGGGGAATATGATTCAGTGTTATTTTGGTTTTACATGTGGTGAAGACTGGTTTCATGATGAATGTATTTTAGGATACAAACCAAGTACTATACGCAAACAACATGAAACTAAACAAAATGAAACAGGGAAGAATTTTTTGCATAAATTATCTCCTCCAGGAGAGGACGCGGAAGCAGATATAGAAGATAAGCAAACGACCCAAAAGACTTATTCGGTTCCTTACTTCCCAGAGTTAGAAGATTTTGACCTGTTCGTTTGTTGGAAATGTGTTAAAGAATTCAGGCATATTTTCAAAGAGATCGAAAACGATAAGAAAATCGTTCTTACGAAATTACCCCATTTCAACGAGGTCGAATCCATCGCAGACTGGAAAGAGCAATATGATCATTTGGTGGGACAAGATGAAGATACGCCAAAATCAAAGAAAATTAAAATCGATCCAGATCATGAAGTTTTATATTCCGTATTTTTACAGCCAGATTTTAGAGACCGATTACTTGAACTCAAGAACACTCTTCCACAAGATTCGAAACTCCATGAGTTTTTATGTAATCATGAATATTTATATCTTGATGATCCAATCTACGAATGTCCTGAAGATAATGATGGGGAGAATTCGACTACTGGATCATTATATGACTTGGGAACTGGCGCCCTTCTGTCCATGCCTAGAGATCAGGCTATTGAAGGGCTTCAAGCATATGAAAAGATTAGCTCAAAATTGAAAGAATTCTTTAAGCCATTTGCTGAACAAGGAAAGGTCGTCACCGAAGAAGAAGTTAGAGATTTCTTTAGTGAGATACAGAAAAAAAAAGATAAATAATACTTGTTTTACATTGCTTCGAGTATCCATTATTATTATGAAATAACGTAAATTGGATTAAATAAAATATGTACAAATATACACCAATAATGACAGACAATTACTTCAACGAATATTACTTATATTTTGAATCATTTCTTTTTGTTCTTCCTTTTCAGGTCCAATTTAGCAAATTCTTCTTTCCATACTTCGTTACATTTTTGAGCGGTGGCGTTAGGGAAGATCTTATCAAAGACTTCTTGATACCACTCCACTGGAATAAATGTTACGCCGTCTTTGACTTCATCTGGGATTTCTTCAAGTTCGTTTTCAATATCTTTAGGGAAGATTATAGTATCACAGCCATATCTTTTAGCACCTAATATCTTTTCCCTTAAACCACCTACTGGTAATACTCTACCTGTGACAGTGATTTCACCTGTCATGGCAACAGTTGGAGGCAAAGATTCATTGATTGCCAATGAAACCAATGAGGACGTAAATGAAATACCAGCAGAAGGACCATCCTTTGGAATTGCACCATCAGGGCAATGAACATGAATATCGGCTGCTTCAAAGAACCTATTGTCTGGATAATTCTTGGCCATGAACAGCTTAGTAAAAGAATAAGCGATAGACGCAGATTCTTTCATAACATCCTTCAAACTACCAGTGACATTCATACCTGGAACTCCAGATCCAGATCCAATAGAATGGGTTAAGATCGATTCAATGTAAAGAGCATCACCATTACCTGAAGTACTATAAGAAAGACCAGTTGCAACACCTGGTGGTGGGAATTCATATACACGGTCTCTTGTGTAAATTTCTGGACCCACATAATCTTTTAGATTTGCTGGTGTTATTTCTAATTTAACGTCTTCAGGAATAACAAATTTTGGTTCAGGTTTTTGATCCTCTTCCGACTGTTCATTTTCTTTATTTGTTTCCTTCTCTTCTTTTGTCTCGACTTTTTCAGAAGCGGTTTTAGGTTTTGTCAAACTTTCAGCGACAGGTTCTGATTGAGATGTATTAGATTTCGTAGATTCACTATTAACGTTTGCCTCTTCGGAACCAGCAGTAACTCCTTCCTTTTCTTTAGAAGAATCAAGAGCTTCCTTGCCTTCAATTTCTTCCACAATTTTAAGTGAGGCTTTACTGAAAATCCTAGTTATCAACTTTTTAACATTTCTAAGACCACTTTCACGACAGTACTTTTCAATCAATCTAGAAATTGTTTCATTGGTAATAGAGACATGGTTTGTTTCCAAACCAGCTTTTTTACTGGCTTCAGGAATCAAATGTCTTTTAGCAATTTCAATCTTCTCATTATTGGTATAACCAGAGACGTCAATAATTTCCATACGATCTCTCAAAGGAGCCGGAATATTTCCTAAGTAATTTGCAGTGCACACGAATAAAACTTTTGATAAATCAACCTTAACGTCAATGTAATTATCTACAAATGAATTGTTTTGCTCAGGATCTAAGATCTCCAAGAATGCTGAAGCAGCACCACCACCACGACTCAAGTCAAGCTTATCGATTTCATCGATCAACATCAAAGGATTTGAAGTTTTGGCTTGTTTCAAAGCAGAAATAATACGGCCTGGAATAGAACCAACGTATGTTCTTCTATGTCCTTTAACTTCATGAACATCTTGTATACCTCCCATAGCAATTCTCACATATTTACGATTCAATGATTCTGCAATGGATCTAGCAATGGATGTTTTACCTGTACCTGGAGGACCTGCCAAGCATAGAATCTTACCATCAACTTTACCAGAAACCTTACCTAAAGAAATGAACTCCAAAATACGGTCTTTAACATCCTTCAAGCCATAATGATCACGCTCTAAAACTTCTCTTGCTTGTTTAATATTGAAGCGGTCTTTGGAATAAACACCCCATGGAATCGATGTCAACCAATCTAAATATCTTTCGCTAACACCTAATTCACTAGAGTGTTCGTTTTGGTTTTCCATCTTAGCCTTTTCAGCATTATATGCTTCCATAGCTTCTTCCGTAAGTTTCAAATGTTTAAGTCTTTCATCAAACTTGGAGGTTTTTTTATCTTCTGATTCGGAAATACCAGCACGCTTTTGCAATTCCTTAATAAACTCCTTTATGAAAAGACGAGTTTGGTATTCATCAGCTTTGGTACTTAAATTATGTATAGTGCTTTCTTTAATCAAACTGGCTTTAAGCTCGACTTTCAATAATTCTAATGCCCTAGATAATCTGGTCTCAATATTCAACGTTTCTAATATTTCTTGAATTTTCCTTGGATCACCATGTATGGTTGAACCAACAAAATCCGCAAATTTAGATGGATCACTAATTAAGTCCGTTCCTTCTTTAATTTGGAGCTTTTCGAGTGGGTTTTTACCACCCATTTTACTTAATAATGTCTTTAATGATTCCACTAACGAACGAATTTCTGCAGAAGATTTATCATAAGGTTCATCTTCAACTGGTTTAACAGTTGCATATGAAACATTGAGACCCTTTAAATAAGATGTTGGGAAATTTTCCGCATCTTCTTTTGCAGGCTCTTCAGATATAGCCTCCTTTTGACTACTTGGTGTGGTTAATTCTTCTAATTTACATCTTTCAAGAGGGTAACCTAAAACATTAAATACCCCCGGTCTAGGCGTCGTGTGTCTAATAATTTGGCAATGGACCCCTATATCATACACCGAGTCTTTCTTATTTATGACGTCCGTATCAGGTTCACTAGAATCTTTTACGTGAAACAATACAAAATATGGTTCCCGTTTATCGATGATAGTGTATATGGATCTAATCACCTCCGGATCTGTGACATTAATCGCGAATGGACGCCCAGGAAGTGGAGGACGATCCTTCATAGGAATGGCCAATAATGGTGGATACAACCCAGTCACAGGATCAACCGGAAGCAGAGGGTTCGAATCGTCTGGATCATCTCCATTATTGTTGCCGTTCGGTGGGGCCGCTGCACCACCTGTATTCGACGATGCCGATGTAACATTTTCATTAGATTCAGACGACACCTTATTATCCTTCTCAACAATATCTTTTTCTTTCTCCGGTTCTTTGTCATTCTCCAGTTCCTTGTCTTTCTTTGGCGTTTCCGGATCCTGATTGGAATCCTTGTCCGACTCAGACGGGCCATTTTCGTTTTCCGACCTTTGTGAAGGTTCATCATCACCCACACTTTTATTTCTATGTATAATATCCTGATACGCTCTAAATGCAGATTGTGAATGTGATATATCAAAATTCATCTGAAGTGGCAATGATTTATGACTAGGTACACTCGTAGCTAATCTTAGCCCAAATTGCGACTTTTTTGGGCATCTCCAAGCCAACTTACGTACGTAAGTCCTTGGTCTAAGCATAATAAATCTCTATAACGACCTATCTGTAGACTATATCTTCTATATCGTATAATAGTTCTCTTGTAGAAATTACTAATTACCATAAACCTCAACAACCTTCGGTGATCGCTCGAAGTCGGATTTTCATCATTATACCTCAGGTCACATGACTATTTAATTATATGACTACAGGATTCATTAAACGTTGTGGGGATATAGATACTGGGGTAGAGGATCTATATAGATGCTGGGGGATTGGAGACTAATCAATTTTGAAAACGTTCTTCTTCTTTTTCTTAAAAGTGAGAGGAGTTGTTTCAGTTTCGTCATTTTTTCTTTTTCTAGACACCTTGGGAGTGTCGTTATTGTCATTAAGAAAGTTCTCGTCCTGATAGTAGTTCAATGTGTTCAAGCCTTCATCCTCGAGATGTAGGCCGTTGTTTCGGTTCTTTAAAGTTTTGTCGTTTGGAGACGATATCGATACCTTCGACACTTCAGACTTCCAAAGCCTTAATTTTTTCTTCTTTTTGTCCTTTTTCTCAGACGACTTTGCTAGGGACGAATTGGCACTAGCAAACGTTTCGTCATCTGACATATGAGGTCCCCTACCAGCTGTAGCCCTAGAGGTTGTACTGTCTATAGTGGTTGAGTTCGCATCCGGGGTATCATTTTCAGCTTCACTGGTATTTGCACTTGTGAAAGACTTGTTGATAACTTCATCCAACGACCGCATTTTATCGTCAAATAGTTTGCCATTATTGGGTAATCTGGTGGGGGTGATATCGGCGGTTTCCAAAGAAGGTGAAGCTGACGAGCGATTCGTGCTGTTGGGTGAATGTCTGGTGGGAGTGGGGGCAGGAGCGGGAGAAGAGACCTTCTTCAAGGCAGCCCTAGTTACTCGCTTATTAGGAGTCTCAGGCTCGACCGTGTTTTCTTTCTGCGGTAATTGCCCATTTTGCTCAAATTGTTTCTTCATGGAGTTATAATTAGTATATTCCCGTTTTGCCTTTGTTGGAATTAAAACCTTTCTCTTGTGCTGTATAGGTGATAAAATACTTGACTTGAAGTCTGGTACGAAAACTGACTTATTTATGGAGTTAAAAGTTGGCGATAAATAATTCTTCGCAAGCCCTCCATTTCCTTGATTGAACATTATTTTATTGACATACGGAGAAGTAGAAAATGCACTGGATGGACACGACGAGCCAGCTTCCAAGTTCGGTTGAAAATGGCTCAATGTTGGCACTTGTAAGTTGTTACGTGGCTGATCTTTAAGCTGTTGTTTTAGTTTCCAGACCTCTTCTCTCAACGATTCTAGTTTGGATTCTTGTAATTTTTCTTTAGTTGTATGCAGCTGTTTTAATTTGTTGATAGTCAACTCATAATCGTGATTCTTCTTTGTTAACTCTTCAATTCGTGATGTGCTTGCAGAAGTGGTGTTATCAACCGTATGTGATGGGTCTTTGTTGATTGATTTGGATAGATGAAACATTTTTAAAATCGATAATTTGACGAGGTTTTTTCGTTGATCATCATCATTCTCGAGTTGTTGGATCTCCCTTTGCACAAGGAAATGATCCTGAAGTGATGATGCCATGCTATATACGAATATAATTTGATTCAAAATGATCGCTTCCGAGGATTAATTTGTAAACATTGAAATATCTAGACCCCTCGCTGCAAACCATACAAAAGATTTTATACTAGTAAATATCAAAAAGTCTAGTTTATATGTCAATAATATTGGACATTATTAACTATGAATGCTACAAAAGGTGACTCCATCACTGCTACAATATACCAGGCTTGTAATGATGAGTTTCGAAAAGGAGTAGTCATAGATCAAAGTCGACTCAAAAACTCATCTCATTCAGTTTCTATTAAGGACAACCAGCTTGATCTAGTTATAGACAAAGATGCAAGTGATGTTGACGAAATATTTAAGAATCATGGAACAGCAATACCTCCAGATGAAATTCTTCAATCACTTAATTCAACACAAGTTAAAATACCCATAAAACACCGAGAAGAATTTTCATCAGACATTAACCTTCCAGACCCAGAATTGCTTAACGTGCTACATTACTATACTAGTAAAAAGATAGCTAAGAGTGATTCATATAAGAAAGTAGAAAGAAGTATGGACGAGACTTCGTTGTTGGCCTTTGGGATGATGGTGGAATCATGGGTTGATGATTTAATAGACGAGTCTACGGCGCAAATGTTCCTTGAACCAGGTGATATGACATACGATATAATAGAGAATGATGAAGGTTTATCACTGGAATCTCTGGGATCAGACTCTAGTTCTAGTAGTTCGGGCTCAAGCATAGATACAGACACAGATCTGGATTAGATTAGAAATCATAGTTACGATTATAATATTTACGATGTAATATACAATTAAACATTAGTGTTAGTAGCAGATTCAGATTCAGATTCTGCTGGAGGGGCACTTGATTCAAGTTCAGTGGTAACTCCTGATTCTGGTTCAGTAGAATCACGGACTTTTTTAACGGCCTCAAGGTTCTTTTGGTAAATGGCTTCTTTCCCGGCATCCTTTGCAGTAGTCTCGATACCGAAAACTCTATAAAGTAATTCATGAGTATCTTTTTTATTGACCATTAAGTTGACGTTAGTCTTACCTTTCCATAATGGTAAGAATAAATCTTCTAAGTTATCACCTTCTCTCTTAACAGTCAAGAAAACACAACCTTCTTCCATTTCATCTAATCTAGATGAAAATTCTGGATCTATACCTAATTCTTTTATAGCTTGAATTTTTGGGAAAGCTTCTTGGAATAATAACTCTAATAATTTCAAATTACAAGTCAAATGTCTCTTATCACCCAAGAATGACTTAATAGTATGCAATGATTCGTTTTGCACTCTCCAAGGACAATTACCGGTATCATTTCTCTGGGAGACAAATAACTTGATACCAGCATGAATGACCTTCAATTTCTGTTCTTCAATAGTCAAAATGTCTTTCAATATGGATGAAACGTAGTAAATAGTTCTCAATGGTTCACCAGTTGCATTTCTAACTAATGTAGAATCACGAGGGAAGCTTTCCTTGAAATCATAGAATGGCCAACATTTAGCTAACTGAGGATGATCAGGATCTAAGAAGATGAATGGTTCTTCGTTAGCATCCCTTGGTAATTTTTCCCTTCTTTGCGGTTGTGGTTTATCAGTAGTTTCCACTGTATTGGATTTCTCATCAATCTTTTGTTTTTTAGAACCCTCATCTTTCTCATCTTCAGCTATTCTCTTTACACCTTCTGGATCTGTTTTTTCAAGAACAGCAATGAAGAATCCACCAGTATTTTGTAAATGTGGGTAAACTCTAATACAGTTTTCTAAACCAAATGTATCAGCTTCTTCTTGAGTTGGAGGGAAAACGGTATCAGCAACATCTTCAGCGCCCTTTTCTCTAATTTGCATATCTTTGCCGAAAACCTTCCAGTCACTCACACCATTACGTCTGACTAAGCCAGGTAATTCATTATCACAGTTGACTAACTTAATTTGGTTTCCCCATTTCCTTAACGCAGCTGCAACGACAGCTTCGTTTTCAACTGGAGATAAAGAACAAGTTGAGTACACTAATCTACCACCCTTCTTCAACAACTGCAACCCTCTGTTTAATATATTTATTTGCAATGAATGTAAACCTAATGCATTGCCAACAGTGAAATCTTTCCATACGTTGACATTCTTTCTCATGGTACCATCCCCGGAACATGGAACATCACACAAGATTCTGTCGAATTTCAAGTATTCACTAGCATTGTTTAATCTGATTCTTGGGAACAATTGTGCATCGTGGTTGACAACCATAAAGTTTGGAGAATTCAAACGTTTCACTTGATGGACCAACATATGCGATCTCTTATAATCGGAGTCATTGGCCAAGACAAATCCAGTAGCTAACTTGTTATCATCATCTGCATGCAATGCCTCCACCATTTGAGCAGTCTTGGAACCTGGTGCAGCACACATGTCAAAAACAGCGTGGTGAGGCTTAATGTCCATCAATAATGGTGGAATCATCGAAACCGCTTCCTGTCTGGAAATGTTTCCGACCTCAGTTTCGATAACCAAGAAACGTTGCGTCTTCGCAAACTCTTCGTTCTTTCTAATAACTGCCTTAGAAACATCTATTTGCCATCCAAGCTCATTTGGGTAGTACGATAAGTTCCTTGGGGTCAACTTGACCCCTTCAAACTCAGCATCTTGCAACTTGGAAACGTGGTTCTGGATGAAGTTTTCCTTGATCTCGTTCGCATGAGCCCTCGATCCGGTGATTCTAAATGTCAATGGCAAGTTCTCTTGACAATGCTTCTTGAATGTATCCCATTCTTCATCTGGAATGATGTTCATAGCTTTGTAGTACGTTTCCCATTTTTCACTCTCCCTCACAGCTTCAGTCCACGATGTTTCTCTGTCATGGACTTCGGAACGTTTACCAAAGTTCTTTTTGTTGTTTCCTCCTTTATTTTTTCTGAAGTTCCTTTTACCCATCCCTAAAATATTGTTGATTACTGTCTTCAAATAGGACATTCAACGCTAGTCTTGATCGTTCTATCAAAAATTTTCAGATGTTTTCAGTCTGAGGCTACAAACCAGAGCGATGGGATTTCTAGAAATGTATCACGTGATATAAACATCTGTCTTCTTGTGAAATAGTGACTCTAGGTATATAACAGTAGTTTTCCTTGTAGTCTAAATTCAATCATAGATTATTGAAGCTAGAGTAATGACGATACCCTCTAATAAGAGGCTTGGATACAGTGCGGTAAGTAATTTGTTCGAAAGTGTTTTTTTTTTGCTTTTATAGCGATATATTTTGCTTTTATAGCGATATATTTTGGGGCGGGTAGAGTACTAACAAATGTGAAGGTGGGAGCATGTTTAGGTGTTTCGATTTATAAAAAAATTGACTTCAGGACGTCGAATGGGTATATAAGACCAATCGGTATAGACTTGAATCCATATTATGCCGTAAACAGTTACTATAATACGTTAGCATCATCAATAACCTCTATCCTGTCGTTCAATTTTAAACTCGTTAATCTTTGTTTGATAGGAATATTTTTATTGACGAATTTTGTGATATGGGTTGTTTTTGGGAGGTTGACGAGCAATGAGATACAGAATTTGAAGGACAAGATCAGTTATACGGCGTGGGAATTTTGTTTGGGGTTTTTGATATTCTATTATAGCACCATCAGGAACGATGAAATTGCCACCAACGATTTACTGGTGAGACACGAGTTGTTGAAATACGGTGGATTGTTCTTGTGTGTGTTCTTGTTGAAATGTTTCCATTATTTGAGTGTTGGCCGTGTGTACACAAGGGCTAGTGATGTACATGATTCTACAACTTTGAAATTTCAATATGTTCGGTTTTCCATCGGATTAGCAGTGCTAAATTTGGTTGATGTTATGTTGATAAACAAATATTTCCAGGAGATAATTTCGAGTTACTCTGGGAATTCGAAAGTATCTTTTAAGGATAATATATTAATTACCATCTTTGGGTTCGAAATCTTGCATATATTCCCTTTAATCATATTGACAACAGTTAAGTATGGATTAAACTGTTTCGAGCTTTTCAAATTTGGTACGTTGGATAATTTAGAGTTTGATTCATCAAATGCCGAATCCGTTAAATGGGATGATACAAAGTTGCAAATTATATATACATGTGAATTTCTAGTGAACTTGATAAGATTTGGAATAGGGTGCATTTTTTCGATACTATTTATGTATTTCTATACATTTCCCTTCCATATTTTGCCGTCATCCTATTTGAGCTTGAGGCTTTTAGTTTTGAAAGCAAGATGTTTACTCAATTTCAGAATAAAGAATTTTCAGATGCAAAAATTGATAACGCCCCGTAAGATGGGAAACTTTGAAAAGTGTATAATATGTTTTGATGATTTATCCCATGATTTGCTTGATGATGTGAGAGTACTCAAGAATTGTTCTCACCAATTTCACTATAGCTGTTTGAAAAATTGGGTTAACTATTCGAGCACATGCCCTATTTGCCGTAAGAAGCTATAGCTCGCATGCTATTATTTATTACTTATTTATTTATTATTTATTTATTCGGTGTTACTGGTTTTGGTTTTGATGGATATTACTGATTTAATTCTCTTCATATAAAAATTGGCTGTTATTATTGAAAGTTATATATATATATATAGGCGGCGATTTAATTGAATATTTACTATACTTTTTTAAAAACTATTTTATAACACATAATTGAGAACTGAATTATTTGCTTTCCTAAAAGCATTCTATTTTTCTCGTACTTGACTTTTTACAGAGTTGCTTTTGCATTGAGTACTCAGAAATAGGCATTATTAGAATTGCCATTTGTGATTCCAGCCGTTAAAGTATCGATATCTGGTTCTTCATTAGTAAGCTTCGTTAACTCGTCGATATGCTGGTGATGTCCTATTTGTTCTTCATTAGGATCATTGATAAAATCATCGTATCCATATCCTTCATCTTTATGGTTTGGATCTGTATTCCTTTCTTCATGTTTTATTTCCTTATCATGTCCGTTCAAACCACCATTACCCGCTTCATTTTCTTGTCCATTGGGTTCGTAATTATTGAAAAATGACTCGGGTGTTCCTATTGAACTATCGGATGATGAGTTCGAGCCTAATATTCCATTATTGTTTGCCTCATGTCCGGCGATCTGATGCGGATTTGGTTCCTGTGCCCCCATATATTCATGGCTATCGATATCTTCCTGTTTGAGTCCGTGAAGCTGTTCCCGCAACGGAGACCCTGCCGAAGAATGCTCATCCTGAGTGTTAGAAGCGGTATGTGATATAGGCTCTGTAACAGATGCAGCCTTCCGTTGCCTCTTCGAGGGTTTAGTTTCGTTCCGTTCTTGCTTTAACGCTTGTTGCTCTCTATACTTGGCCAAGTAAATCTTCAACACTTCTGCGTAATTCTCAAACCCCAAGTCATGCATCGAGTATAATATGTCTTCTCCATTAATCGTTTTACGTTTCTCTTTGAGGCATTTATCACTCGCTTCACTAGTAACAAATGAAATAAATTCTGATACACATTCTTGCATGCATTCCTTTGCATCTTTCGAAACCTTGGCCGTCTGGGGAAGCGTATTCTTCATAAGACGAGCTACGTTGGCGATCGGTAACCAACGATCTTGCTCTCTTAATTCCACTTCATGTGGATTTATATTGTTTGGGTCCATATTGATATTTTCAATACGGGAGTACTGTTCAGGGTGTTCTAGACTGTTTTAAAACTATTACTATCCTTAGTACTTATATTCAGTCTCAGCTCAAATTTGTTATATATTTACGTTGATGACTATTATCTTAACGATTAATGGCTAAATATCAAATGACTAAGTAACTATATCCAGCGTAAAAATTGAGCTAAAATCCTTATAGTGGAAGTTCGATAGCTACGCACTTTGATGCGTAAATTAAATCACGATATGGATATTGTTAAGTTTAGTTAACCATACATAGTAGGAAATAAAACTATATAGGACCGATAAAATAAGAATACCATGGGCTCTGAAAATGAAGGGGTAATAAGTGGTAGAAACGATGCGGATCTCTTGAATAAATCGACTTCGGGTGCATCCTTCCTAATGTTGACTCAATTGTTCACGAAGATGTTGACATTTTTATTGAACCAGTTATTGATTCGGTTGATTTCTCCTAGAGTGTTTGGAATATCGGCGTATTTGGAGTTCATTGTATCAATGGTGCTTTTCTTTAGTAGAGAGGGTGAAAGACTTTCAATCCAAAGAACTAGAGATATTAGTTCGGAGTGCGATAATGGTACGAAGCGTATAAGTGACAAATACGTCGAGGGGACTTCTGTGGGCACTCTACAAAGTATTATTAATTTTGGATATATCCCATTGGTGGTAGGTGTCCCGTTATCGGTTGTGATTCTTGTATGGCAGTACCATTCGCAGAATTTTCAGGAGTCCTTATTGATGTTGCCGTATTATAGGGTTACCGTATTGCTCGTTTGGTTGCTGATGATGCTAGAGCTTGTAGCGGAACCATTGTACGCGATAAATCAATTTCAATTGAATTTTAGGAAAAGATCGAAGTTTGAAAGTATTGGTGTCTTTGGAAGATGCATTATTACCTTCGCAGTAATTGCTATCGTGCAGAGGACTTCGAGGGCATCAAATTTAGAATATGATGGCCTCGCGGTTATTGCATTTGCGGCGGGCCAATTTGGATATTCGTTGTTAATTTTCCTTCAATATCAATTGAGCTTTACTAGAGAAAATCAAATAAAACCGCTAGAAGAACAGAATTCACTTTTGATCCGAAAGATACGTACCCAGTCGGAAGATGGATACTATTATTTTGACACAAAAATATTTGCTATTTGGAGGAGTTTATTCATACTGATGATATTCAAACACTTTTTGACAGAAGGAGACAAGTTGTTGATCAATTATTTGTGCACAGTAGAGCAACAAGGTACATATGCGGTTGTTTGTAATTACGGGTCCATAATTGCAAGGTTGGTGTTCCAGCCAATCGAAGAATCGTTAAGGTTACTATTTACTAAAATGCTTTCAACCAAGTCAGAGGAAAATATAAGAAAATCTTACAATGTTATGCAATACTTGGGAATATTTTATTTAAATTTGTCTTTATTGATTGGTATTGCTGGATATTCTAATGCGGCATATTTCCTCCTGATATTGCTAGGTGGTAAGGCATCTAAATGGGCCAACACAGGGATTTTTGATATATTCCCGCAATACATTGTATACATCCCGTTTTTGGCTTTTAATGGTATATTGGAAGCATTCTTCAATAGTGTGGCCGATGGAAATGACATTAGGAGATTTTCCATATTCATGTCCTTTCTGACCATCATTGTCTTATGTTCACTGTATGCATTTATTACCTATTTTGGATTAGGATTAAGTGGACTCATTTTAGCGAACGCTTTAAACATGGCTCTCAGAATAGGTTACTGTTCTATTTATATCAAATCTTTTTACACCATAAATGGGCTTGAAATCGCTTACACAAATGTTTTGAAGAGAGTTAGCGGTTCTTTTGTTATGTTTATTATCGTAGCATATTGCCAATACGTTGCCTTAGAAGATAATATTAAAAGTAGTTCGATCACGGATGTCATCATAAGTGGTTGTCTATGTTTGGTCTACCTAATATTTATGATCTACTCAGATCGGAACATCTTGAAGGACCCATTCTTTGACTTAAAAAATAGACTTTTAACTAAAAAGAAACCGTCTAAACAGGATTAAAATTTAATAGAATCTGTAAATAGCCGCAAATTAATAATATAAATTATCGATAAAGCGTATACGCATGCATTAAACAATCACGATAATGTCGATCTACGAGAGATAATAATAAAAAAAATTGGAGTTGACACACAAGATACTTATAACTCCTTACCAAAGCCAGCCAAGTGCCATCCGCTTCGCCTCTCTACGGGTAGCGTGCTGTGCTGAATTGCTTCCCTCCAGCGATATTGCCACTCATTGCTGAAACTTGAAGAATTGATTACTCAAATTCACAAGTTTGCGACCGCAGAGATCGAACCGGACACTTAAACTGTAATAAAGAACCAAAAGTACACAATCTGCGCGCTTCTGCCATACGCCATCACAGCGAAGAAAATTGAAAAATTGTGAGGTATGATCAGTTTAGCCTATTATATGCAAGAATATGGAGAGAACAAGATGAGCCTGAAAGATCTGACTACTATTAATGACTTCTAAGGAAATTCACTAAAGCTTATGTCGATAGTAGAGTTACTGAAGAGTGTGGATACACTCGCTAAAATAATAAACCAAAAAAACCACGAGTTGGAGGAATTGAAAAAAGGGTATGATGCTAAGCTTCATGAAATTAACAAATACATTAGAGTACTACAAGAACAAGAAGATGTTAAACCAGACGGAGAGATGCCAGAAGAAGTGTTCAGAGAGAAGATAGACAGCATAATCAAGTGCAGCAAATGTGATCATGAAATATGGAATATCAACAGCAATAATGAATTCATAATTATACCCAAGAAGAAATTACAGTATCTTCTCGGCAACGAAAGTGATAAAAGATTGCTGGATGGGTTGAGAGAGCTAACTATACAGAAAGACTCAGGCGCAGATACGAATTCGGAGATACGACCAAGTCCTAAGGGATATTCAAGTCCTAAAGGCTATAAGAAGCAATATAATACTAAATCGAAGAAAACATGTTCCTACTGTTCCAAACCAGGTCATTCTAGGGCACATTGTTTGATTCGGTTGGCAACTCCTACGAAATAAATACACATTCATGTAGTATTTTGAATAATTAATTTAGAACGGTATATTTATAAACTATAATACATTACATAACCAACGTAAATTAACTCAACTTATTTTGCTGATTGGACCATAGCTTCTATAATTGAATGTTAGTATATGTGAGTGGAATTAAGATAATAATAATAATTTAAACGTACCTCTTCTTGATGCATCTTGCAATAATGTACAATCAACAGAACTCGAATTCATATGGACATAACGAACAGTAGAACCTCTTATAAACAAATTCTTAACAGATTGCAAGTGTGGATATTTGGATTCATTGACACATGAGATATTGTCTAACTTCAAGTTCAAATACTGGTCTACTGACTTTAAAATGCCCTTAATCTCTATATCATTTTTTAATTCAACGGTCACTTCTTGATCAACAAGAGTTTTAAAAAAACTGAAGAATAACATTTACCTCCGTAATTTATATATATTAGATGAAAGGTATCCTTTACTTTTAATATTGTATAGGTGAAATGAATACGCCTGGTCGGAGGTGGTGTATATTTTCAAAAACTGCATTTTGAGGAAACATCAAAAAAGGTTCAACCATTACATAAGCGAATGCAAAAAAGACACTCCTACTACCATGGCTATTATAAGTTGGCCTACATTATGCTATAAAGAGAAGTTGCATTTAATGATGTAAAAAATTAAGTTACGAGACTAACAATGTATTCTCATTGGTGTAATCACCTTTTAATTCCTTTTGAAGTATAGATAGTTCTTTTTGAAATTCGACAAAACTATCATCCTCTACTTGATTGAAGCTTGAGTTATCCGTACCTTGGGATCTGCATGCAGACATAGGCATTCCCGTTCTGTACACGTCAGTTTCCTTTTTATAAGATTTGGATTTCTTCGATTTTGACTTTTTGGGCTTCTTAGGTGTCATGGCGGACTCAAGGTTCAAATTGAATTCTGGCTGGTAAGAGAACAGATCAAACATCGAATCGAACGTTTCTTGTTTGGCTTGAATGATGGGAGGGAATAGATCATCATCGATAAATTCATCTTCCAAATTATACAATTCTTGTTTTACGCCTTGGTTTTGATATGTTCTTAATGCACGTAATTTTTCAACATTATCTGCTTTAAGCTTTTCTTTTTTCTTTCTGCCTCTCTTGGACGGTTTCTGCAACTCCAAAAGATTGTATTTAGTTTTTATCAGTGGTATTTCTTTGTTAGACTTATTTTTGGATTTGTTGTCTAGTGGCAACTCGTCTGCGTTGGATGATGAGCTTGAAGTTGAATCACAGGCGTGTTCTTTTTGATTATTAAAATTTAATGCCTTCAAGTTTCTTCTTGCCATTTGGTAATTTGATGGAGACCGGCCTCGTACAACTAGTGGTTGAGTTTCAGTACTAGCTAAAACTGCATACTTACCATCATCTAGTAGCCCCAATAACTCGACTTTTAAAATGAAGTGTCTATTAACCATGGTAGATTTCCGATAGTTTATTGATGTAGAAAATTGAATACGTTCGTATCTTGCAACAGTGGCTATCCTACCCTCCGGGTATGTACTTAAAATTGATGTATCCATGGACTTCTGTAGAGTAGCATTATCGAGATAGAACATCCGATTGTATTGATCAATTTTGTCCCCATTACGAATATTAGAAGCCTGCTTGATAATTGAATGAGATGGTAGATATCCTGAGATTGCTGGAAAAACTGGAGGCAGGTATTGTGGACCCCTATCCCGCTTAGCTGTATGCTGAATGAGATTCACGACGGATTCATCCTCTGAACATCGTGATACCAATCTTAGCGCAAAACAACTGATATTTTCAAGCTCTCCAAGATCGTTAAGGATATGAAACTTTTCGTTGAAGAAGGCTTCAGGATTAACGCCCTCGAATTCAAAGCAGCTAACTAAAGTGAAATAGTTGCGTTTATACCCTATCCATTCCCCACCATGATTCTCAAATCCTCTATCAATTCTGGCGTTAACAAACGGGAAGACATTTTCATTAGTAGAAGTTATAAATATGGGTCTATATAACGTTGTGTTTTCAAACGATGGGCCAACTTTGAACTGTAATCCCGATCTGGGTGCAACTTTTCTTTTCTTAACCACACCTCCATTTCCACCATTGTTTGATCGAAAGGTTTCGGGAAAAGAACTGTACTGTTCAGTATTATCACCACTGAAATTTTCATTCGTCTTCTCATTTGGTTTAGCCTTCATTTGTTGTTTATCAGGTTTTTTGGAAGACCACGATGAAGTCTTAGTCTTGACCTTATTCTTCGAATTTTTTGGCCTTCCCATGATTCAATTTTATTTTTTTTGATGACCGATACGAATATAATGTGGAATACTTTTCAATGCTTAGGTTTCCTATTCAATAGGCTTATTTTCTAATCTTGTATAAATTATAGTTGAAACTTTACCCGCTGAATATTCAATTTTGATTTTGGGGCATAAACCGGTTTTTTGCAATCCACAAACGGAACATTTTATGGAACATCTCATATTATTCGTATATTGAGCTCAATTGAAAATTTTTGAACCATATATGAATACGATATTGCAATATACTTCCAATGCCATCATCCTACATTATACTGATACTCTGAACCTCTTGTTTGGGCCTATATTGATGATTATGCCCAGATCCAGTGATATCATAGATATGAATACGGTTAACACACGACTCATCTAATGAGATTTTTTTTCAGACTGGGACATAAATACTACTACGGATAAAGGTCATAAGTAGAATAAACAAGAGACTATTCAAGATGGGTAAAAAGGCTATTGATGCACGTATTCCATCGCTTATACGTAATGGTGTACAAGAAAAGGAAAGAAGTTTTTTCTTCATTGTGGGTGATAAAGCCCGTAATCAGTTGCCTAATTTGCACTATTTAATGATGTCAGCCGATTTGAAAATGAACAAGTCTGTTTTATGGGCATATAAGAAGAAGCTATTAGGCTTTACATCACACAGGCAGAAGAGAGAGACCAAGATAAAGAAAGATATTAAAAGGGGAGTAAGAGAGGTAAACGACCAGGATCCATTCGAAGCCTTTATTTCCAATCAACATATTAGATATGTATACTATAAAGAAACCGAGAAAATCTTGGGTAATACCTATGGTATGTGCATTTTGCAAGATTTCGAAGCTATCACACCTAATTTATTAGCCAGGACTATAGAAACTGTTGAAGGTGGTGGATTAGTAGTGATTTTGTTGAAGTCGATGTCTTCATTGAAGCAATTGTACACCATGACAATGGACATCCATTCACGTTATAGAACCGAAGCTCACGATGATGTTGTTGCCAGATTTAATGAAAGATTTTTGTTGTCCTTAGGTTCCTGTGAAAATTGTTTGGTTGTAGATGATGAACTAAACGTTTTACCTATCTCTGGAGGTAAGCACGTTAAGCAATTACCTGCCAAGGACGATGAAGATTTATCGCCAAATGCCAGAGAATTGAAAGAATTGAAGGAAAGTTTGGCTGATGTCCAACCAGCTGGTGCCTTAGTTGGATTATCTAAGACAGTAAATCAAGCTCAATCCATTTTAACATTCATCGATGTTATTTCAGAAAAGACATTAAGAAGCACAGTAGCATTAACTGCCGGTAGAGGTCGTGGTAAGTCTGCAGCTTTAGGTATTGCTATCGCGGCTGCTGTTTCTCATGGTTACTCTAATATTTTCGTTACATCTCCTTCTCCAGAAAACTTGAAGACTTTGTTTGAATTTGTTTTCAAGGGATTTGATGCCTTAGGATATACTGAGCATATGGATTATGATATTATCCAATCAACTAACCCATCATTTAATAAGGCTATTGTTAGAGTTGATATTAAGCGTGGTCACCGTCAAACTATTCAATATATTTCACCAAATGATAACCATGTATTAGGCCAGGCCGAATTAGTTATTATTGATGAAGCTGCAGCTATCCCATTACCAGTTGTGAAAAAATTAATGGGTCCATACTTGATTTTTATGGCTTCTACTATTAATGGTTATGAAGGAACAGGTAGATCGTTGTCTTTGAAATTGATTCAGCAATTGCGTACCGAATCCAATAGTAACAACAGAAATGATGATACAGCTGTTGTATCCAGAGATAACAAATCCAATTTCGATTCTGTTGCATCTGGTAGAGACTTGCGTGAGGTTGTGTTAGATGAACCAATTAGATACGCCCCAGGAGATCCAGTTGAAAAATGGTTGAATAAGTTATTGTGCTTAGACGTTTCATTATCCAGAAATTCTAAATTTGCTACTAAAGGTTGTCCACATCCTTCCCAATGTAACTTATTTTACGTGAATAGAGATACATTGTTCTCGTATCACCCTGTATCTGAGGCATTCTTGCAAAAAATGATGGCTTTGTATGTTGCATCGCATTACAAAAATTCTCCTAATGATTTGCAATTGATGAGTGATGCTCCTGCCCATCAATTATTCGTATTATTGCCTCCAATTGAAGAAGGCGACAATAGAATTCCAGACCCATTATGTGTTATCCAGCTTGCATTAGAAGGTGAAATTTCAAAAGAAAGTGTTCGTAAATCGTTATCTCGTGGCCAGAGGGCTGGAGGTGATTTAATCCCATGGTTAATCTCTCAACAGTTCCAAGATGAAGAGTTTGCATCCTTATCTGGTGCTAGAGTTGTAAGAATTGCTACAAATCCAGAATACGCTGGAATGGGTTATGGTTCAAGAGCTCTAGAATTATTACAAGATTATTATGAAGGAAAGTTTACAGATATTAGTGAATCATCTGAAATCAATGACCATACAATTACCAGAGTTACAGATAAAGAATTAGCAAATGCATCGTTGAAGGACGAAATAAAGTTGAGAGACGCCAAATCATTACCACCGTTATTATTGAAATTATCTGAAAAGCCACCTTACTTTTTGCATTATTTAGGTGTATCATTTGGATTAACTCCGCAATTGCAAAAGTTCTGGAAAAGATCTGGGTTCGTTCCTGTTTATTTAAGACAAACAGCCAATGATTTGACAGGTGAACATACTTCTGTGATGATAAACGTTTTGCAGAATCGTGAAAAGACATGGTTACAGGAATTTTCGAAGGACTTCCACAAGCGTTTCTTACAGTTGTTGTCATATGAGTTTAAAAAATTCCCTGCTGTTCAAGCTTTGAATATTATCGAGGCAACAGAAGCGGGTGAGAATCACGAAGATAAAATTAAGAGATTAACAAGAAATGATTTAGATAACATTTTATCTCCTTTCGACTTGAAGAGATTAGATTCGTACGCTAATAACTTGTTAGACTATCATGTTATCGTCGATATGTTACCATTGATTTCCCATTTGTATTTTTCGAAGAAAACTGGTAGTGACGTGAATTTATCATCTGTCCAAGCAGCTATTTTATTGGCTATTGGATTACAACATAAAGACTTGGA